TACACATTCATTTATTAAAATGTCTTAACTTTCTGGAGGCCTCCATTTTTTATTTTTTTGAGTAATATCCCGGGTTCTCCCTGGGCCAGTTCCAGGATATTGGAAAAAGTTGAAAAACATGAATAATTTGAATAATTAAAAAGATAATAAGTCTTTACATTTAATATATATTCTTTTAATTTCTGGAGGCCTCCAAAAAAATGAAAAAATAGTTTCCCGGGTTCTCTCTGGGCCAGTTCCGGGATATTTAAAAAAAAGCAAAAAATCAAAACCAATAAAGAATTCAAATCATTTAAATATGTTTTAAAAAAATCTGGAGGCCTCCAAAAATTTCAAATTAAAAAATATAAATAGTTTCCCGGGTTCTCTCTGGGCCAGTTCCAGGATATTTAAAAAAATTAAAAAAATCAAATAATTTCAATAGTTCAAAAACAAACAATCTGGAGGCCTCCAAAAAAAAGTTTCCCGGGTTCTCTCTGGGCCAGTTCCAGGATATGTAAAAAAATCAATATTTAAAAAAAAAAGGAAATTCAATTAATTTAAATATTTATATTTTTTTAATTCTATTGAAATATCTGGAGGCCTCCAAACAATTTTAAAAATATAAATAGTTTCCCGGGTTCTCTCTGGGCCAGTTCCAGGATATTTGAAAAATTTAAAAAAATCAATTAATTTAAATAATTCAATAAAAAAACAATCTGGAGGCCTCCAAAAAAAAGTTTCCCGGGTTCTCTCTGGGCCAGTTCCAGGATACTTAAAAAAAATAAAAAATTCAAATAATTTAAAAAAATCAAATAATTTAAATATTTATATTTTTTATTTTTTTTTTAATTTCTGGAGGCCTCCAAAAATTTAAAAAAAATTAAAAATATAAATAGTTTCCTGGGTTCTCCCTGGGCCAGTTCCAGGATATTTAAAAAAAATAAAAAATTCAAATAATTTAAAAAAATCAAATAATTTAAATATTTATATTTTTATTTTTTTAAAAATTTCTGGAGGCCTCCAAAAATTAAAAAAAAAAAAAAAAAAAAGTTTCCTGGGTTCTCCCTGGGCCAGTTCCAGGATATTTGAAAAATTTAAAAAATTCAATTAATTTAAAAAATTCAAATAATTTAAATATTTATATTTTTGATTTTTTTTTTAAATTTCTGGAGGCCTCCAAAAGTTTAAAAAATTTAAAAAATATAAATAGTTTCCTGGGTTCTCCCTGGGCCAGTTCCAGGATATTTGAAAAATTTAAAAAAATCAAATAATTTAAAAAATTTAAATAATTTAAATATTTATATTTTTTAAATTTTTTAAATTTCTGGAGGCCTCCAAAAAATCAAAAAACAATAAAAAATATAAATAGTTTCCTGGGTTCTCCCTGGGCCAGTTCCAGGATATTTAAAAAAAATAAAAAATCAATTAATTTAAAAAATTCAATTAATTTAAATATTTATATTTTTTATTTTTTTTTAATTTCTGGAGGCCTCCAAAAATTTAAAAAAAATTAAAAATATAAATAGTTTCCTGGGTTCTCCCTGGGCCAGTTCCAGGATATTTGAAAAATTTAAAAAATTCAAATAATTTAAAAAAATCAAATAATTTAAATATTTATATGTTTTAAATTTTTTAAATTTCTGGAGGCCTCCAAAAATTTAAAAAAATTAAAAAATATAAATAGTTTCCTGGGTTCTCCCTGGGCCAGTTCCAGGATATTTGAAAAATTTAAAAAAAAAAATCAAATAATTTAAAAAAATCAAATAATTTAAATATTTATATGTTTTAATTTTTTTAAATTTCTGGAGGCCTCCAAAAATTTAAACAAATTAAAAAATATAAATAGTTTCCTGGGTTCTCCCTGGGCCAGTTCCAGGATAATTGAAAAATTTTTAAAAAATCAAATAATTGAAATAATTCAATTAATTCAAATATTTATATTTTTTAAATTATTTAATTTTTTGGAGGCTTCCAGAAATTTAAAAAATTTAAAAAATATAAATATTTAAATTATTTGATTTTTTAAATTATTTGAATTTTTTATTTTTTTTAAATATCCTGGAACTGGCCCAGGGAGAACCCAGGAAACTATTTATATTTTTTTTTAATTTTTTTTAAATTTTTGGAGGCCTCCAGAAATTTAAAAAAATTAAAAAATATAAATATTTAAATTATTTGATTTTTTTAAATTATTTGAATTTTTTAAATTTTTTAAATATCCTGGAACTGGCCCAGGGAGAACCCAGGAAACTATTTATATTTTTTATTTTTTTTAAATTTTTGGAGGCCTCCAGAAATTTAAAAAATTTAAAAAATATAAATATTTAAATTATTTGATTTTTTAAAATTATTTGATTTTTTTAAATTTTTCAAATATCCTGGAACTGGCCCAGGGAGAACCCAGGAAACTATTTATATGTTTTAATTTTTTTAAATTTTTGGAGGCCTCCAGAAATTTAAAAAATATAAAAAATATAAATATTTAAATTATTTGAATTTTTTAAATTATTTGAATTTTTTAAATTTTTCAAATATCCTGGAACTGGCCCAGGGAGAACCCAGGAAACTATTTATATTTTTTAACTTTTTTAAATTTTTGGAGGCCTCCAGAAATGTAAAAAAATTAAAAAAAAACATATAAATATTTAAATTATTTGAATTGTTTAAATTAATTGATTTTTTTGAATTTCTTAAATTTTTGGAGGCCTCCAGAAATTTAAAAAAAATTAAACATATGAATATTTAAATTATTTGAATTGTTTAAATTATTTGAATTTTTTAAATTTTTTAAATATCCCGGAACTGGCCCAGGGAGAACCCAGGAAACTATTTATATTTTTTAAATTATTTAAATTTTTGGAGGCCTCCAGAAATTTAAAAAATTTAAAAAATATAAATATTTAAATTATTTGATTTTTTTTTTAAATTATTTGATTTTTTTTAAATTTTTTAAATATCCTGGAACTGGCCCAGGGAGAACCCAGGAAACTATTTATATTTTTTATTTTTTTTTAAATTTTTGGAGGCCTCCAGAAATTTAAAAAAATTAAAACATATAAATATTTAAATTATTTGAATTTTTTTAAATTATTTGAATTTTTTAAATTTTTTAAATATCCTGGAACTAGCCCAGGGAGAACCCACGAAACTATTTATATTTTTTAATTTTTTTTAAATTTTTGCAGGCCTCCAGAAATTAAAAAAAAAGAGTATAAATGATTAAATTATTTGTTTTTTTCTTTAAATTAGTCGGTTTTTATTTTTTTTATTTTTTAAATTTTTGGAGGCCTTCAGAAAATTAAAAAAAAAATATAAATAATTAAACTATTTGATTTTTTCTTTAAATTAATTGATTTTTATTTATTTTTTAAATTTTTGGAGGCCTTCAGAAATTTAAAAAAAAAAAAAGTAAAAAAAAACTATTTAAATTATTTGAGTTGTTTAAAAAAAAACTATATATTTGATTTTTTAACATTTTTTAAATATCCTGGAACTGGCCTAGGGAGAACCCAGGAAACTATCTATTTCTATTTTATTTAGAAAACATCAAAAAATGGAGGCCTCCAGAAATTTAAAAAAAAAATCATAGTTTTTTTGATTTATTTATTTATTTATTTATTTATTTTAATATCCTGGAACTGGCCCAGGGAGAACCCGGGAAACTATTATTCAGGGCCTTGGGCGACACATAGGCCCAATTCTTCCCTCTTACGGGGGGGGGGTGAGCTTGATAATGGTAACCGCATGGGTTTCTTTAGTGGATTATGCATTTCAATGATGGCTAAGACGTCCAACTGGCAGTTGCATCCAATTTGCAAGTGACATCCTTGACTCGTTGTGGGGTCAAACACAATTATCATGTTTCGTGAACCTCCAATATGAGAGTTGAGTTTGGCCAAGATAGAACATATACCCTCAAAAATAAGTAGCATTCCAAACTACCCCTAGAAAATGTCCGGAATGGTTGCTCAATGTCCCTTTGTGAGGCATTCCGTGGGAAACAACAAGAAACATCAGGTCTGCAAAACTTGAAACCACCAAAGACGACAATGGTTGCCACAGGTCCCCTGTCGCAGGAGACGGAGCCGGCGGACTACAGCCCGGAGGGGTCCTCGCGCCAGGAACAGGCGCCTCAGACCCTCGGAGCCAGCGGAGGGTCCAAATCTGGGGCCTAGCTTTTCTATTTTTAGGGTAGGCCAAGTATGAAACATAATCTCTTTGGTGGCGAGTAGATGTGGGTAGAGAAGTGACTGTGCGTTTTTGGAACCCCATTTTGAGCGGCGCAAACTCGGTGTCTTTGGCTTTAGCACGCTTCGGCTCCAGCATGATAGCATGACCGGCGAGCCGGAAGGAGACGAGGAGTAAATTAAAACATCGATGAAATATCATCGTCCACAACCCAAAACTTAAGCTTGCAGCTGCTTAATTGAATAGTTATATGCATTGTTTTCCTTTTTTTGGTTGATAGGCAATCTATCACTAGTGAAAATACCATTGTTTTCTGCAGGGGCTTCAGCAAATGGCAGTAGACAACCATAGCACCATCACACAGCCAACACATCGACAAGACACCTCCCCATTCTTCCTGAATCCAGAAACCACCCACTATCCAGGTGGAATAGCTGGTCTTTAAAACCTTTTCTAGGGTTCCTTTTGGTTTCCCTTTAACCCAAGCCCAAAAAGCATTCCCTCAAAGAAGGACACACCCAATGTTCCTTCTGGCCGTTTTTCTCCTGCAACGTTCCATCCGCAAACCGCGCCGAGCCAGTTTTCACGTGGCAAACCTTCGACTTGTTTTCGTCGCGCACTGGAGCCCGGAAGCAGCCCCCCCAACCACTGGTTTTGTGTTCAAAATTTCCAAACAACAGGTGGCGAAAAGTAGCCCTTGGTGGGAAAGGCATAATTTTGTGACTCAGAATTCCTTTTGGTTTCCCTTTCAAGTGACTGAGAGCTGATTTAACACTTGCCCAACGATGCAGGCAGCGATCAAGACGGATTGCCCTTGGCGTTTCGACGAGATGCTCACCTTTGCGGTGACAATGGAGGCGAAAGTTGAAGCGTTGGATGATTCCGTGCGCGCCGAATGCAGGTTGGGATTTGTTACATGGGTGTGTTTTTCTTTGACCCCCAAAATAGCCTTGGTGTTTCTGTTTGGTTTTCCTTCAACAACATAAAACACTCTTATTGCCCTTTTTGAGCCAGTCTAAAGATTACTTTTGGGCCAATTGCAGGTGAGTTTCCTGTTGAGGGGTGATGTTCGAGGACGAATATGTGGCGAGCCTTGATCAACGTCAATAATCAAAGAGCACTGTTCAAAGGGACCTGGAACAAAAACGTCAGTAGTTGGGTTACAAACCCCACCTCCCCACCCCGCCGTTTTTGGCGACTGATTTCATGGTCCCCTTTCTCGTGATTAGGTGTATATATGGGTGGCTCGATTTTTTTGGGGACCCCCTTATAGAGGGTAACCAAAAGGAACACTACTTGGGGTGTTTAAAGAAGGCAGAAGAAGGCACACCCTTGTCACAGAAAAGCACGTGAAACAGGTGAGGTGCCGTGTATCCTTTAGCGCCAGCCCTAAAAACCCTTCCAGAGTCACATCCGTGAAGGCCAACCTGACCTGGGAACATTGCCACACATTCCATGCAGGGGATACGTGCTAACATGTCCCGCATTGGGAGGGTATATGTGGGTAAATGCTGCGTAGGAAACTCGATTGTTTGGTCACCATCGTGGATGCCATGGCCGGCATTCCAAGGGCCAGACCCAATTTTTGCCCAAGACTGACACCCAAAGCGTGAACTACTATATGGATGGGGTTCCTGAAAGGATACATCCAAAGACCACCTTGCAAGGGGATCCTCAAAATTTGCACTTCTTTGTTCGCAAGATAATTTTAGCTACAGGGGTTCTTATTTCCAAAGATGCGGCGTTTGTTTTTGCGATGTCGGGCCAGGTGGGGGCTGAAGGTGCGTGGTGGTTACAGGCGGCGCTTGTTTTTGTTTTGTGTGTGTGTGTTGTTTTGTTTGTTTTATTTTTATTTTCCGAGGCAGGCAGGTGTTGTGGACCAACAGCACCCGGACTGTACCCGGACTACCTGGCCGACGCCAGCTCTGACGCCCGCTTTGCGGCGCAAAACAGGCGCCAGCAACTGCCACTGCGCCTTGAGCGAAGCGCCGTCCGAACCCGGCTGCGTCGCCAAGCAAGCGCTGCGAACCGCTGCGCTACCGTGAGCCACTAAACTTACCCTGACAGGCACCCACAACAACCCTACCTGCGTCGCGAAACAAGCACCAGCAGCAACTGCAACCGCACCTGGAGCGAGCCAAAACGACACCCTACTCTCACTGGCGCCCTGACTGCATCGCCAAACAAGCGCCTCCAGCAACCACTGCGCCAGCACCTTCCCCCAGGGTGGTGATGCTGGTCGTGGTGCTGTTGTGGGCAAATCACCATGATGCTACTGAACTCATGAAGACGTTGTCCGTGCGCATATGTAGCGCATAATGGTTCGTGGCCGTGGTATCATCATGATGCTGAAATCATCATCATTCTGCTGAATTCATTTTTGACGTGGCTTGTGCTTATTTGTAGCGACAACACATTCGTGGCCGTGGGATCATCCAGATGCTGCGAAAGTCATCATGGTGCTGCTGAGTTCATGAATTCGCTGCTTGTGCTAATACGTCGTGCGTAGTGGTGTGTTGCCTTGGTATTATCATGAGGCTGCCAAAATTTGCCATGATGCTGCTGAATAAATTAGGCTGTTGTTTGTGCTTATATGCAACGCATAATCCTTTGTGCAGTATCATCATGCTTCTTGACAGGGTCAATTCGCGCAAAAAACGAACCATTCCGGTCACTCCATCATGCTATCTGGGGTCTGTTGGAAGGCGCAATGTTCTCGGAGTGGGGGGGGGGGGGGGTAGATCAAACATTTGGGTGTGGCTCAAAATTAAACAGGAGGGGCAAACCGCAGGTTTTGGTCCATGTTTCCATCATGTTTCCACTTACCAGGGTTCCATTTTGGTACCGGTTTTTTGAGCCACAGCCATTTCTTGGCGACCGGGTGTCCTTTAAGGCGCCGGGCGAGGCTTCTGCAAGCGGTATACCGGTGAAACCTGCGTCGGCCGGAGGACCTCACGGGGCCGGGCCTGAAGCTGCGGCTGCGGGTGGTTACCGACACCACGCCCGGGACCTTGGCTGATGTGGACCGACAATCAAAGGGGCTCAGTTTTAGACCGCAGGTTTGACTGATTTCCCACTGGTTCAAAAGGGGTTCACCAAATTCGGAGCACTTCGCACCATTTCGAGCAACTTGAACAGTGCAAGAGTCAATCATGTAGTTTTGCTTTCGGTGTGTGTGTGTGTGTGCTTGGTCTTTTTGCAACCAAATTTCCCCCCTTTCTGGGACAGGATGAAGGCCGGGGCGGGGTGAAGGAGTTGGGACCGGGAGGCAATGGGTTTGGGGCGTGGCAGGTGTTTGGGCAAACCAAGCTGTTGATGTTTGATATCCATGTCCTTAGGTAATCAAGTTGTGGGGGGGTTGACGGTTGGCACAGACATCCAGAGAAACTGCTTGTTCTGACCCCAGCAGCAGAAGGGAGTACATTAATCGGGTATTTGAGGTGAATGCGATGCGCATCCTGGCCGAGCTTGAATACTGGCGGCTCTCCACGGATTCGAGTCAGCAGAGCGGATGATGGTTGCTTGACGCAAATTTCCAGGGTCCAAGACGGTCTAAGTAGTTAGAATCGGCTTGTGGGGTACTATTTTTGTCATCAATTATTCTGGCCTTGGGGCAAGACATTTTGTTGAGTTCACACTTTGTGACAAGGCAAGCGGTTAGTTTATAGGGGGGGAATATTATCGTAGGATGTTGCTCGTCTTTTGAATTTGGTAAGGCTTCAGTATCTCTTGAAGGGTCCTTGTTTGCCCGTTTACCCAGCTTGACTTGTTGAGTCATGTTTCCAAACAGGGTTCCAGGAGTGCTGCCCTTGCCAGCTTTTTGCAGCCCTGAAGAGCCCTATTTGCGGAAACACACCTTGTCTCTGCCGACCGCAAACTGCTTGGCGCCAGGTTCGGCTTCCTGCAGTTCGCAGCTCGCCCGGCAGATGTGGGCGAGGCGTTGCACCAACTCGACGTGCACACTCCCAACTCAATGGGAACCCCGGATTAGTCCAGGCGTCCTATTAATCGGGGGGTGTTTCCCTAAGACGGTTCCCCACTAAACGCAGGGACACTTTGCCGTGAATACACTGGGGTTCAGGAATCTGGGATTCACGTCGGGTGTGTGTGCCTGTTTTGGGGCTCGGTGCCTTAGGTTTTGACGGGAAACCACAAGCCTGAAGCATCCAAGAGTGATATTGGGGGTTCGAATGGCTGTGGCGCACGCCCACGTATAATATTGGAAATACAAGTACAAGTGCTCCCTCTCTTTGGGGGGCTGCGGGGGTAACTCAGTACACAGGTGTGTTTTTTTGTTTAGGCCTGTATCCTACCCCTTGGTGCTACCAGAGTGCTACCTATTGGTGGAATGCGCAACTGGGCTGTTGCTTTCCGTGGGGAGTAGGTACAGCACGACTAAGCGCCCTCCTTGTGGGACTAGGTTTTGCAACACATGTGTTTTGTCTCCACACAAACCCACTCAATTTCCCACAACATCCAAGGGGCCCAATACATGTCTGGTTGAGTGTGGCGCCTATAGACAGGAAACTATGTTTGAGAGGTCTCAAGCGGTTTGCCCGTAGGCGACGCTCGACCTACAGAAGCGAATTCTTCCCTCCTGCCTGCAGCAGACGTGTCTTGGCCCTGAGTTTGTTGGGTGTCAAGTTTCTTTGGGGGAGCCGGTTTTGGCTGGTTCTAAAAGGGTTGTGCTGAGAGCCGTCTTGGTTGGTTGCAACAGGATGTTTGGGGAGAACCCTTTTTGGCTAGCTTTTTGAGGGATGATTTTTGGACGATACTCCTTTGAGTTGGTTGGATTCTGTAGGTTGTTTCTTTGGGGGAACAAAGGGAAACCACCAGTGAGAAGAAGCCTTGGACTCTTTTCGGTGTGGATAATGCGGTCAAGAAGTATCGGGGATTTGGGTACGCGAACCACATATTTTGACCGTGGCTCACATAGTTTGGGAGGATACCTGTTTTAGGGGCTAGGACAACCACTATTCTCCCGGTTGGAGAGAAGCTGCCCCATGCCCTGACATTTTGTGCTTATGCCCAGCCCCGCACCTGTTGTGGTCAACAATTTCACAGGTATTTGTGGCCTGGTGCAAGCGGACTCCAAATCCCAAACTCTTCTGGGCCCCCACCCAAAATGGAATCCGATCAGCCAGGAAACTGTGCCTTGATTTCAGCCAGGGTCTAACGCAGTTTTGAACCCCGGCAGCTGTTTGAGCGCGTAATTTCCTCAAAAGGAAACCAAGGGATCAAGGGAGAAATGGACCCCAAAGGAGGATCCCGTTACAAAAGTCCAGAGCCCCCCATTTGGCAGCCCGTTTGCTGACCAAGCAACTCCATGCCGAGTTTGAAGCCGAGGCTGAAGTCTGACAAGCGCCGCAGTGTTTGGGTCAGCCCCATCATGCCGGCCCGGCGGCCAAGGGGAACTCCGTTGACCAAGCGGTTGCATTGCCAACCTCCCCGGATCAGCATAGAACCATCCAAATAGCTTTGCAGAGGAACCTCCTTTGGGATCCGCTTGGGTTCGTCAATCTGCAGGGGATGCAGTTCTTCAGCAGGCGCCTTGTTTAATTGGCACCGTTTTCTCTCATGGGCCGAGCTGGCAAGAAAGGGTGTCCTGTTTCTCCAGCAAGCGCATGTTGAACACGGAGAGTGTGCGGGACGCCTGAGATGGGGTCCCTTCTGCCGGTTTGAAGACGCACCAACATGAAATCAACAAAACTGAATGTCACATGGAATCCCAAGGCCGCCCATTAACAGGGAGATTTCAACTGTTTCAGGCCCATTTGAGGGGTTCCACGTCAAGCGTCAAGCGTCAAGCATTTATCAAGCTTTCCCCAGGTTCCCATTTCTGGCTTCGCCGCTCAGCTTGATCTAGAGGCTTCTGTTTGGAGGATGTATAGGTTTGCCCATGGCGCATGGATCTGTTTTTAGGATGCACTTTTGCTGTACCCTAGCAATTGCTGGGTTGTCCACAAGCGACATTTGGCCCTGTTCAGCCAGTTTTCCATGTCCGGTGGTTTCTATCGGGTGACCAGGTGGTTTTTTGCAAAAGACCAGCAGGGGGGGGGGAGGGGGCTTGCCATCGGGTTTTTCTGGAGAGTTGGTATCGCCGACTTGGGCCGAATCATTCGGCGTCCATGAAGGATTCCACATGGGACCCGCCGATTGGAGAAGCACTACGGTTGCCAGGCTTAGTACTTCAGCCCCTGGTTCTTGTGGAGGTTTGGGAGAGAAGGAAGCCCCCGCCATGAAACCACCAAACCGAGTCGGCAGGGAAGCTGAATCCAGGTGCCGCTGGCGCACATGAAGGGCGGCATGCTGGGGGCTGAGACCAAGCTCGGAGAGGCGCGCTTTGGTTTTGGCCTCACGGCCTCACGGGACGGGGCAAAGGCTCCCTTCCATAGGTGTCCTTTTTGGTTGGTTTGTGAAAGAAACTAGAAGGCGATTCCTGGTTTACCTGGTGGTATCATCTACCAGGGAAATCCGTCTATTTTCCAAAAAGGACACCTATGCTCCCCTCCAGTTTGGATGCAGATGCAGAAGACGGCCTGTTCCTTGGGTTGACCTGTAGTTGTCCAAGATGAGCTGAACGCCATGTTTGTATGTTTAGCCCTTTTACAGGTAAGCTGGTCTTTATTCTGCGGGTGCCAATATGTGACGATGTCGTAAGGCTGCCCTCAGGAAATTGAACCCGCGCGAAAACGCCAATCTTGCGGTACTTGAGATGAACTGGAATACTCACTTCCTGAGTTCTTGGACTACATTTATTTGGTGCTGAACAAAGTCCAATGGACTTTGTTTGGCCCATCCATCCAGGAAGTGAGAATAGGGAAACTCAAATCAGAACCGGATCCTTGATTCCAAGTTCATTGGATGTGCCTTTTGGCTTTGTCAATTTGTGGATGGATGACTAAGTTTTGTGTGTGTGTGCTTTTGTTAACGGACTGTATATTCCGGTAACTCATCCAATGTCATGTGACAGAATGTGATCTTGGACCATTATTCTCTCAGACTCAAGTGCCCATGCAATCGCCAAAGAGCCACATGCAAGATCTCGTTTTGACACCTGTTGCACAAAAACAAGGTGTTCAAGTAAGGTTTGGTATGAAAGACCCTCAAAAGTGCAAGCCAAGGAGGAAGCAGGTATTAAGCAAAAACCAGGGGGTCATACCAGGGTTCTAGTATGGCTTCATTCAGGGCCTTGAGCTTTCGCCACTGAAAAAGCAGGTGGCGCCTTGAGGTTACCTATAGACAAACTCACCATGTCTCACCTTGGTTGATGTACTCAAGAAGCGCTCCAAAAACAAAGGCTGCGAGTCGAAACGATGTCAACTGGGCTCGTCTTTTGTTACTCTTTCGGGTTGCTCAAAGCCTTCACAAAGAGAACACCACCCAGTTTCGGGCTTCCCAATATGAGAGACGCTCATACAAAGTACCGTAAAAAGAGTTTGGCATTCGGTGTTTCATTGATATTGTGAAAATGCATAAAACCATGGCTGGAAAGCGATAGGGGGCTCTCAACCTGAGTAGCGAAACCGCCGTAAGTAAGCAATTTCGACCGTGCCTCATATGGAGGAATCCAGAGCAGCCCATGTTTTCTGAGATGGCTTTCACCCCCCGACCCCCGGAGAGACAGGAAAGTATACCGCTTATATGGTGGATATAGCTGTTGCCATCAAACCCCTGTAGCTTAGGGGTAGTACCGTCTTAGAAAAATATGTCAGACATATTTTGGATCAAGTGTATCATTTTTTTAGCCCCCCCCCCCCCCCCCGAGAGAACTTTGATCTTTGATCCTCACATGAGTCTCCTGGGTCCACCCTTATCTTGAGAGAGGATTCTGTGCATGGGCGGCCAGTACATCCCCTGACTCTCTTTCAGGAGCCCACTCTTGTAGAAAACTAGTTGGCTTAAGGCCAGGGAAGCGGCGCTCTGCGGGCAAACCCCTCACCCCCCCACCCCAACTAGAAGCCATCTCAACCGGTTGAAAAGCCAAAAGAGGCACGCTCCAAGCATTCAGGGCTTTGCTTCTTTGGTTTCACACAGGTAAAGGGGCCTCTTGTCTTGCCGGCCAAAACTGGCCAATCGTCAATTGCATGAAAGCCAGCCCCAAAGGGCTCCAACATGGATTCGCGTCACTGGGGTCATTTTGTTTTAACGGTTTCTGGGGGTTATCACAGTCAGAAAATGGGTCGTTTCCCTTCAACCCACCACTCCGGCTGTGCCTTTGATCCCGGTGAATTCATGAAGCTAGAGTCATGCCTTTTAAAAGACGTGCAGGCGGTGGCGCACGTCATCTTGCACTTCAGCTTGGACACGGATCCCGCACGGGCCTGAGGGCAAACCCTGCAGTCCTTGGCTGGGGTGTACCTTTTTAGGATGTCACGCAGCGTTTTGGGGAGATGTTCTTTGTATAACCAACCAATAGTTTGTAAGACAATGAATGAGCCCGAGGAGTATCCTCAACAACACTGGTCAAATTCAGTCTTCGAACTTCCTCAGAACCCTCCCAAAATCTGCTGGGAGCAGAACCTCTCCCTGCCTCCTATTCCTGAGTTCCTGAATATACTATTTGGGAACACCGCGAAAGGTGGCCAAAAAGAAACAAATCGAGCTTTGGCCAATCCACGCAAGAAGTCTTCGTCCCTTCGCCTCGGTTTTGTAAAGCCCGGCGCACCAACCCGAGGATTACCTGCTAGACCTCGCGCGCCCACCTACGGTGAAGCTCGAGCAGAAGCTGCGGGCGCGGGGCCGGGGGGGGGGTGCGGGGGTTCGTGCCGGGGTAGTTGGCTCTGTCATTTTTCGAGGGTTCCGCCTTTTTGGTGGTGTTAAGGACTTAGCCACAACGAAAAGTAACCATGTTAGGGGTCGCCAAGTAGAGAGACACTCATTTAGGCGGTGTTCCTTTTGAAAACCAACCCCAAAAAGGAGGGTTGAGAAAAAGACGCTTCCTCGCCCAATGGTCAATCATGATTTCGGGTTGCCAAAGAGATCGAGGGCCGCCTTTTGAGGGTTCACAACATGGGAACGCAGTTTTGGCACCATGACTTCATCTTGGCTGTAGGAACTCCCCACATTGGTACTCAATGGAGAATCCGTCTTTGTCTTGGAACAGCAGGCAACGTGACTACGGGAAGCTGCTTGTGCCTCCAAATTGGCTTGGTTAAACTGCTCCTGAGCCAAAAAAAACCCTCCAATAAAGCCAGTCTCAAACAACACATATGCTTTTCTTTCCCCAAATTTGCGACGCACTGGTGGTTTTCCTTTTGGTTCCCTTGCAAGACTGGCCCAAGCAGACTGGGTACTTGTCTTGGTTGCTGTTTGGTGATACTGAACTTCCTCGGAACATGATGATGTCCCTGCGCACTTGCAGAAACGACAACTTGTTTCAAGGGGTCAGCATACCCACCCGAATTCTTGGGGCACATCAGTTTCAGCAGAGGGTACCGGTTGGTCTAGAAGGGATTAGCATGATGTGCATATCCGCAGGGTCGTATTCTGCATCAGTCCGCCCTGCCCATGACAACATTCCATCATACAAATATTCTGAATACCCATGTTAAGTCAACGGCTTTTGAATAGTGAACTCATGTTGGATGTTGGGCGGTGTGGGTGTTCGATGTCAGTTGGTAGGTCTGTGATTGTTTGCTGGCAGCAGCTGCGATGATACTTATATAGTCAAACTTGCTTGTTCATGTTCGTAGTTGTCAGTTGCCTGTCTTTACATGTATGTGCAGGTAAGACGTGTAGGCGATATCTGCTTGCCTTTTCATTTGCGTGTGTCTGGAATGCGCATTCAAGATGGGACTTGTGTGGTTTTGCTTGAAAGGGAAGTCTCCCATTCCTGGACGTTGTGAGACAATCCCATACGGGTGTGGATTTGTTTGGCAGTTAAAGTTACTCTTGCTTCTTTGGGGGGCAGGGTCCCCTCAAGGCGCCACCATATTGCCCGGCTCATGGTTGTTTCCTGGGCCCACAAACCATGCATGAGCGGCCTGAGGTCTGGTGGTTGCCAAATTCCCTCAGCACCCGCATGGGTTTGTCTCAAAATTGGGGCACTCCTAAAAATGGGTGGTTTGCTTTGGAGTCCTTTCAACTGACCCACAAACAGGACCCTTCAAGAGAAGACGCACCCACATGATCCCACATGAACTTCCACTCACACAGTGGTGGTAGTTGTTGCTTCAGGTTTGACGTACATTGGATGTCCGGGACGCCTGAGCAAGGAATCGTTCACCAATTTGTCCAGTTTGGCGCTTGATTGCACTGCCTTTGACTTGGTCTTTGTTGCGAGGACTCATAGCGTGTTTGCAACGTGTGCTGTTCGGTGTGACTGCAGGAGAGCGCCGACGAGATGTCTCGTTTCATTGACAGTCTGTGGCTGCCCCAGCTGATATTGGCCGGGACGGGCAAGCGACCCCCATTTGAACAGCCGGGGTCCAGAACCCAGGTAACATTGAGAGCAGGCAAGAACTAAAGTAACATCAGGAGTGAACGAATGAATTCTGGACTGGCCGCTTGAGACCTCGTCGACTGTTTTGTCTCTCCGGGATGATGAATCGAACCTGCATGGGGCCCAAATGTCATTTCCACAACAGGTCCTCTTGTTTAGTGAACCTTATGTCCAAGAGTGCAAGCACACCAACTATATGCAGGTTGTGAAACGTGTGTCAATGCACTGAAGGGAACTATTCGAAACTGGGAGCCAACACCAAGGCCCATGCAAATATTTGCCAGATCTTGGCAAACTCTGGCAGGATTCCTTAGGGACTTGCTCGCCATTCCCTGCTGAATCATCCCACACGAATTCTGGAGAATCCACCCAGGGATGCATTGGGGCGTGGTTCCTTTGTTTTGAGCTGGTACCCTGTTGGGGGGTGGTTGTTGAATGAAAACTGCAAAAGAAACCAATCAGTTTGTGGGTGGTGATTTTTAAAGATGCACCCATGTCAGACAGTGGTTATATCCCACACCGTCCAATGGCACTCGGCATCTACACGAAGGGGAGGTGGGGTTCACTCTGGTCGCAAGTTTCAACGGATTTGTGGTTCACTTACGCAAGTTATTGAGAGGACTTCACCGTTGGTTGTCGTTGGGAAACATTTGAATCACGGTCCAACCAGGATGCGAATTGGTTGCCGCGCTCGTGCTCGATCCAAACCAGAGAGCCACACTATAGCTTTTAGTTCTGCATTCGGTCCTATATTCCAGAAGCAGATGACTTCTGATTAGAGCAATCGACCGGTCAACCAAATAAGATACAACGAGCAGGTTTACCCACCAATTTACTTTATGGCTATTGATTGCATGTTTGGACCTTAACCTTTTGTTGAAACAGTGGATTTTCCATTGGACCCCACACAAAGTTGGAACTTTTTGCAGAGGGGTCAACCGCAAGCAAGCTAATTGCACAGCCCCCCCTACCCCTCAAAGAACCACCCCCTACCCCTCAAAGAACCACCCCCCACCCCCAAGCAACCAACCTCCCCCCCCCAAAAAAAATACAACCCTAGGAACTACAACCCTAGGAACAAGACACAAAGAGCCTCAGGCCTACTCCGAAGTCCTGCTGCTGCCAGCCTGCCTTCGGAGATGCGCGCCGGCCCGGGGTGATTTGTTTGCGTGCGCTGGAGGCGTGCCTTGTAAAGGCTACCCTTTGTCTCACTTCCCGAGTTCATGAACTTTAAACTTTTTGGGCTTGGACCGTTTTAGTGGTAAATGTAGAGTATGGACTTTTTTTGGGCCATCCACTCAGCAAGTGAGTTGTGGGGTTGGTTCAAGGGGAAAGCAACGGAAAACCACCGATTTGCGCGGGGTGTCCGACCGCCCCCATTTTGAGGACGTAGGCTTTGGCAGCTTCCCGGGGTCAGTGGTTGCCCTGTTCCCGCTTTGCGCGTCACCAGTTGCATGCCCAATACCTCCTTCCCCAGGTGCCTTTCTTGGGTTGTGGCCTTCTCGGCTTTGAACTTGCTAGGACAAGGACGAGCTGAGCAGTGAGGGCCTGTAGGGTTTGTTGTTTTTGCTGCAGGTAATACACCCTTTGAGGCTCGTGGCCATTTTGGCTGCCGTCGGTACCTTTCAATTTGGTGTGTTGAATTGTCAGGCGGGAAGCTGGTGATGTATACCATGCAGGGTCTTCCTCCCAAAAGAGCCAAAAGGCAAGCCCTGCATCCAACGCTCTACGTACGAAACCGCACTGAATATGCCCTCGCTGCGTGATGTCTAAAGGAAAACCACCAAGCTATCCGGAAGGCTCCAATTCCTAGTCTCGGACAAGTACACCCAAATTTTCAGCTCGGGGGCTGCACATTGATTGAATCGCAGCGGCTTCGCAAGGTGGTGTGGTTGCGTGGATTGCGATTGAAAGCCTAAGTTCAAAGGGCGAACTAACTTTAGGGCATTTGGTTGGATCTTTGGACTTGGATTTGTTGGTTGAAGCAGTGGATTTTTCATTGGACCCCGAAAAGTTAAGCTTTTCGCAGAGGGGCCAACAGCAACCAAGCCACTTGCTCGCACCACAGGGCACTATTCTGATGATTGATGCCTCATAGCAAATGAGCCGACCCCGGCCCTCCTTGAAGTGTTGACGTGATACGGGGCTCACTGATTCAATCGTGATTTTTCGCTGATTTTTGGCGTAATAGTCCTCAACCCGATAATGATTGTTAAAGCTCTGATAGTATAACTTGTAAGTTGTTTGTAGCTTTCTGTGCGTGGCTAGACCGACAAAAGAAGGGTTCATCCGGGTCCAGATGGAGACCCGACATGCTCCTATGCACCTGGGTCATCTTTCTCTCGGATGCACCAAAGTTTCACTTGGGGCCACCAGGCTGGCACTGATGCTTGAGGTACCCCAAGTACCCGGACTTCAGTCGGCACATGCAATCTGTTTTCCTTCCTAACTTTCTGGAAGGGAGCTTGATATGGCAGCTGAAAAGAGGCTACACCAAGAGACAGTTCTGTGTAATGATCCCCACTCCCTTGAAAATGGAATGTGGGGAGCCACCCTCTCTTTTAAGGTAGAGGGCTGTGTAATGATTTCAAGATTTGGCTCCTATCGAGTCACACCCATTTCTCTCAAATTCGCGGACCCTTCACACCCATCCAAAGATTCGTCCGGGGACGCGCCCCGTCGCCGCAGTCGCCTTTTGTCACACGCTGAGTTCGACCCTCTGGACGTAGACGCCGCCCTTGGCCGCGCCGCCTTGCGTGCCTGGACCGTGCGGGGTTTCGTGTTTGTGGACATCTCACTTCCCGAGTCCATGGACTTCCAACTTTTTGGGTTTGGACCATTTTAGTGGGAAATAGAAAGTTCATACATTTTGTTGGCCCATCCACTCAGGAAGTGAGACATGGAGAAACTAGGCAGTACTTGTTAGCAACACATATTTCTAGGCATAGCATGGGTATACTTCCCAACATGTCTCAATTGTGTGTGGTCCATTTGGAAGTGTCCACTTTTTGCGAAAGAAATAGTTATATCCGAATGGACCAAGACTAGACATGTTGACCGTGGAAGGCGAATGGTCTGAGGAGAATGGACCCATATCGCTGAACCCGCTACCATTGGAAACATCCCTTTGGCGGACGAGCGCAAACTCAAGTGTTGCCTTCCGGCGATTGCTGAATTTTTGGGCGCATTCGTACGGTTCAGGCTCAGTAGTTGGAGGAACTTCCTTTTCTTGCTGCAGGTTTTTACTCCTATACATATTCATGCTAGCGGACCAGAAACCGCGCTCAACGGCGTGCACCTTTTTCCTGCAACCCTGCATAGCGCGCCCGCACCACTGCTTCGCCCTGGCACTGCGCACACGCCTGACCATGATAACCGCACCCGCTCGACTGCTTCGTTAAAGCACGCCTGACCATTGTAAGTGCATCGTTACAACACTGCTCGTACGCCTGATCATGGTAAGCACACCCGCGCGACTGCTGCGTTACAACACTGCGCGCACGCCTGACCATGGTGAGCACACCCGCCCGACTGCTTCGTTATAGCACTGCGCGCACGCCTGACCATGGTATGCGCACCCGCCCGACTGCTGTGTTACAGCACTGCGCACCCGCCCGACAGCTGCGATCTAACACTGCGCGCCCAAGGTGAGCGCACGCGCCCGACTGCTGCGTTACAACACTATGCGCACGCCTGACAATGGCGAGCACACCCGCCCGACTGCCGCGTTATGACACTGCGCGCGCGCCTGACTATGGTAAGCGCACCCTCCCGACTGCTGCTTTCCAACACTGCGAGCGCGCCTGACAATGGTACGCGCACCCGTTCGACTCTTTGTTATGGCACGCCGGACCAAAGATGTTTTCGCGGACGCGAAAAGGTTGTCTGCCACACTAACACGATAGACTCTACCTGGTCAAGCTTCAAAGCATATGTCCCGAATTCGCTGGCTTCGTGCAGCCCGCATCTCCTCTTGTATGTAAAGTCTTGGCAGCGGCGCTATGTCTTGCGCCAGTGAGATGTGGAGCCGCAAACTGTCGTAGCGATCGCAAAGACGTGAAAAAGGAGAAGGCAGGGAATGGGCGATACGATTTGCGTTTCGCCTCAGCGAAATGAAAAACGCCTCTAAAACTGAGCGCTCTGTTCGGAAGGTTTTTTGGGGACTCAATGTGCGTTTCGCTGAGGTGAAACGCAAAGTTTTTCAGAAAAGCGGCAAAACGCGAGCGCGGATTTCGGCCCGCCGGGATATTCATGTTGAAGTATATGTGCAATGTGGGTTTGTGTCGGACTAGAGGAATCCCAAAATCGAATAATTTCCTGTTGGTGTGTCCCTCTAAATTTAGAAAACCACCCCGAGACTCGGTACCCTTTGAAGACAGAAAACAACGCATTCCTTATAGAGATCTAAGCATCAGAGACACAGGTGTGTGTTGTTTGTTTGGTTTTTTTGGGGGGCGAACCACCTTTTGGCTGGTTTTCAAGGGGAAACCTAGCGGACACATCCGAAGGGGGTCCAATCAGAAGACACCGACAGACGGCGCCCGGCAGGAGCGTGGGTGAGGTCCAGCAGCCCCTGCCGGCGCCCGAGCACTGCCCGGAGAACTGGGTCAGCACCATAGGCGCCCGACGGCTTCGGCTTCGGCGGTGCGAGGTGCCCCGAAAACGCTGCGGTAAACACGGCGGGGGTCGGTTCTAGACCCAACCCCCCCAAAGAAGCCGAACTTCACAAAGGAAAAACAAAGAAGCCAACCCAACCCCCGAAAAGAATGCTAACTTCGAAGACAAACAGAAGAACAAGCTTGGTTTCAAACCAAGCTGACAGGGGTAATTGCCGACACCAAACAAGACTTACGCCTATTGAATCCCATTTACCTCTCATGGCACAGCCACATGGAGCCAGAATCCAGGGTAAATGTTTCGGACTATCCGAGGCATCTTTGCATGAACAAAGACCATGTTTATATCTTAGATTTAGGCATGAATTTGACCAAGAACCACTACCGGGACCCGCTTTCGAAAAAGGGGGAACACCATTTGTATAGTCGCTTTTGCTTGTTTGTGTATTGTCATCCTGGTAGAATACATGTTCGAGTACCTTTTGCTTGAGTGAAGCAGTCATAAGGAAGGTCACCCACGAAATGGTATCACAGCAAGGGCTTATTGCCTCACTTTCCCACTGGCCAAGTTAAAATTTGTTCTTAAGACAAGTTTGTCATGCCCAAGCCTGCGTTGTTGCTCTGACTGGGATTTCTCCAAGGGCCACTCACAAAAAGTGCCAACAGAAACGCAGCCATTTTTCTCCAGCGGATTTTCTTACAGCGGGAGAGGTTGTGGCCACCTTTTTCGGACCTTTAGAGGGTTATAGGCAGCTGGGCTATCCCTTGACATGCCAAGGATACGCCCTCACCAACGCCTTAGGCGCTGACGTGAGACCCTTGCCCATGATCCTTTATGGTTGCTTCTACATGTTCTCAGGGCTTCGCTCGGTTCTGATTGGCTCATAGTTGTGTTTTCCCAAGGGAGACCATCAGGAGAAGAAGAAAAAAAAGGAATAACCAGAGTTGGGGCAGGTTGGATGTTATGAATTCGCATTTGCGTATGTTCTATGATACTAGGCTACCAATCTGCATATAGGTATGTATCAGCTGAAGAACAACATCTGGGCAAACCATAAGTCACTTTCCCCGGAAATCAACGGAAACCCAAGTAAGGCACGGGTGACCTTCTTCGCGCGTCCCCGTGCGCGAGTCCTTCGGTCCGCGAGGGCCCAACGGCCGGCGCTTTTGGCACAACTTGGCGCTGGGGCCTCCGCCCTGGGAGGAAGACTCCCCCACGCCCGGAAGCCCAAAGCGGGAGGCTGGAAGCTGGAAGCCGTGGAGGTATGACAAACTAAACCATTTCACGCAGATTGGTTTCTTGTGATTTCACACAGATTGGTTTGTGATACGAAACACATCTGGAAATCCTTCTGTGATTCCTTCTGCCATTGGACCAGACTCCCACATATTATCTATGGCTGGTGAGAGTGTGGGTGACCCTAAATGAGTTCCAAATCAAATAGAACCCGGTTGTTAGAAGGATAGTCCGCAAGATCCTTACCTGGGGTACGAAAGGGCTCCCATTCCTTTGTAGTGGTTTCCCAAACGACTATTGACCATTGTGAACAGCTCGGAAATGACCTAAAACCGCCTGCCTCTCAAGGGGATCCTCTAAATCAGCTGATATTTGGTGTGATGTTTGACTGGACCAAAATGAACCTGGACCAAAATGAACCATGGGGTTTATCATTTCTACTGACCCCGGCAACCCCCACTCCGCCTCAGTCCAGCCGCACGAGTCGCTGAGGCCAAGTCTTCCCAGCCCCGAGGAGATGCCGAACGGCTGGGTTTACCACGAAGGACGCCAGAAGCGCCGCTGCATATCTTGGATGCGTACCTTGGGATCTTTAGCCTTCCTTTCGCTCAGTCCCTGAGTTCCATTTTGTTTGGACCGTTTTAAGTGGTAAACAAAAAGTTTGGGAGCTTGTTTTGGCCCCATGCACTCAGGAAGTGAGTTCGGGAGATGATGTGTCCCATTCAATTGCAAGGAGTTTAACTCTGCGCACCGAGGGTTCTTTGTTATCCTGACAGCACCTTGCTGGCAGAGGTCAGTTGTTTGGCGGTGATAATTATTAATTCGCGTAACTTGCACCGAGGTACTGCAAACAGACAGTCACCATACTAGAATTGTGTTTGGAGTATGTTTGGCCCTGTAGTATAGGACAGCGCTTTGAGAAAGTCCTTTCAAGTTATGCCAGGTTGTTTAATTTTCCCCACAGTCCACAGTTTTGTTGGCTTTGGACGAGTGAAGATGCGGAGTTTATCTGCAGTTCTTGAACTGTTTGCTGGAAGCTCGTGCAAGTTTTGCAGCGTCTTTGCATTGCTTGAATGGTTTGCTGTGTGTGGCGTTTTTTCCATGTTCGTTGAGCCTCGGCACTGCATAGTTGGCATGGAACTCAAACAGGGGTCCCCCCAAAAAAAGAGCTTCCTCTGAAAGCGACAGTGTTGTTTGGGTTTCATGCAAATATGCAGGATCATATGTTTGCACGTGTTGCTCGCTGGCAATGTGTTCGTCACAGTTGAGCACGTGTGTCCTGTCAACAGCCTCAGGGGGTGCTCTTTGTTGCTGTAGAAAAGCTCATGTTCACGGCGGAGATCTAGTTGGAATCCCGTAGCGGATCACTGAAAGAAGGTGGCTTCCTTTACGCTCAGGAAGGCGATGTTTCATGGTGGGAATAGAGAACTACACTTGCACCCAAGGACACCTGCCTGCTCAAAGGAACACAAATCCAATACTGGACCAATTGTCACAAATGCTGGGCCAGCTCAAAGAATATGATACGGCCCAATACCAACCAAATCTAAACAGTACTGAACCCTACACAAGAATCCTAAGTGAATATTTAGCGCATATTAAGCCAATTCTATTCAGCGCTGGTCCAGCTCGAAGGATTTTTTTCCAATACTGAACCAGTTCTAAACAGTACTGAGCCAGTACAAAAGAATACTAAACATATTAAGCCAATACCAAGCAAATACTGGCAGTCCTTACTGGAAGACTACTTGGGCAGGCCCCAGTCTGACCTCCGATTTTGTTTTCAGGTTTCTCTCTGTTGACCCCCCCCCCAACTTTTTGTTTGGTTTGGGAGGGCCCCCTTTTCTAACCAGTCCCCTATACTAAGGTTAATTATTGTCCCTTCAAACATCAACTTAATTAACGCACATTAATTAACCACATCACCCAAACAACCCAGTCATTAAGCAACTGGCACGGAATTCAGCTGAGCAGTTGGATGTTGTCAGCTGCGTGGACCAAGCAACCCACCAGAGCCAACGCGTTACCCGCAGGAGCGGATGGCCGGCGCTTCTGGCACCACTCCGACCTCGGCCTGGGCCCGAGTTGCTCTGCACCGACAGACGCCGCTCGCTGGGATATTCGGAAAAGGCGGAACAAGAGGATCTGGACACGTGTCTTTGGTGCTTTTTGCTTGGATGTTAGGACTTTAACTTTTTGCCAACTAATGGGTTTTCCATTAAACCACTAAAAGTTAAACTTTTAGCAGGGGAGCAGATTTCGCAACCGGGATGTGGCTGAGTCCTTTGTAGCTTGGACCCTCCAAAATGGCTGAGAGGTGTTTGTTGGGCATTTTTGAGAACACGTGCCGTACCTCTGAGCCGTTGGCAAAGGGTTCTCGGAAGGATTTGGCGTGCGCCTAAAGGAAGTTGGAGCCGCAGGAAACAAATTGCATGTCCGCATCGCTCGGCAACGGTCGTTCAACTTCAATATGGCTCCTGCTCCATGGCCCATGCCAGTGATACATGAGTGGGGTCTGAATCTCCCGGTTGATTGATGCTGGTCTTAGCCTTTGCTTAGACGGATCGCCATGAACTCTTGACGTCGTTCAACAGGGACGGATCCCATCCCTGCAAAGGCATGTGAGACAAACAACTTGTCATGGGCGCTTGGCGAATGCCTTGGCGTGCTTTTTGCTTACACCAACCCAAAGGGTGCCCCCATATTGAGATGTATGGACGCCTTCTTTGGATCCCCTTAATGAGGGCCAGGGTCCTAGAGACAGGGAAATCATGGTTGTCGTTGGGACACATTTTACAATATTTTACATTTTTGCTTCTTGTGGTTTAGTGGTTGAAATCCAACCACTTAGCTGCTTTTGTTTGTTGCTCCACTTTTAACGTCAACCAAGAAATGTTTGACGACGGCTACAGGGCAACCCTTATGAGTTGTCTCAGGTACCCAACAGGTACCGGGACCCTTTTCGTAAGCCTCGAATCGAAAGCGGGGGGGGGGGGGGATCCTGGGGCTGTGTACCGGAAAGCTTCCCTTGATTTTGCGCAAGACTCGCGATGTTATCCGATTCTGCCACTCGGACGACCATGCAATTCAGGGGTGGTTCTGCTTTTGCATTTCGTGGGGAATCAAATCATATGGAGAGACTTGTCTGATGAGGTGTGTCCTGATGAATGTGCCACCACCATTGAAAGGAGAGAAGTAAGATGCCTCAACCAGACGATGGGCGTCCACAAGAACGTAGCTTTGTCTCATGGGGAGCCTCCGAAATGGGGTCCCCCTTTTGTTTGGCATTTCTCATGAGAGACGAAGCCGACCGACCCAAGTTGCTTCACCCGAATTGATTAAGTGGGTGTCCCATGTAGGGGACCATTCACTTGGTGGAGTTACATCCTACTCCGCCAGGACCTCCATAGAAGCAAACTGATTTTCCCTTGACGTGCCTTCAAGCCAAAGCAAAATGTGGCAAGTATCCTGGACTTCAGGCCCTGCACCATGGGAGCAGCCCCAGGCTGGGGTACGGCTGTTGGCATTTTGTTTAGGTGTTCTTTTTCTGGTTCTGTTCAGGTTTCAGGTTTAGTAGGGGGCTGCAAAAAACAAAGTTTGTTGCTAGCCGTTTTTTTGGGTTCCGATTCCTACCCATTTGGGTGGACCTATCACTTAAAAAACAACAAACGCTTTGAAAAGGACGCCGAATACTTGGTGAATGTAATACTGGTTCAAGGGAAGCCAAGCAGGATGTTGAATGTTGCACAGCACAGCTTTCATCTCACGGCGGATGTTTGCAACGGCGAATCGCTCAGAAGCAAGGTGTTCTCCCTTTGGTTCGAAACCAGACACACTCGATGTCGAGTAGGATTATCTTGACCACCATGTTAATGTAGGGCTCCAATCAGGACCCTCCATGAAAGTGCACAGAGGAAGGCCTTTCAAAAGCTTGTTGGGAGGTTTCCCACGGAAGCTTCTTTTCATGGTCGACAGAATCGATTCTGCCCTGAGATTGCGCAGACTGGACATTCCCTGTATCAAGGTGCCCACCCTTTGTTGTGTCTGAAAGAACCCGCACCAGCATTTGGCATCAACCGGGCCCCAAGCTAATTCTCTTGGACCTCGTTTTGGTTCATCAAAAACAATCCCTATTCCTTCGCCGGATGGCAGTTTGTTTACCCTGTTAAAGCTGGTTGGCGCCGTTTCTGACCTTCAAAGTGAGAATTACCATGAGTCTTTTCCGATGGTCCGATCGAAGATGTCCAAAACCAGCGGGGCCATTTGAGGGGGGAGGGAGATCATTTTCGAACACCGATGTCCTGGATCATTTTCGAACACAGAGTGGGTCATTTTTCGAACACATGGGGGGGCTATCCTGCGGCACCCGTGGGGTGGGGGTGCGGGGTGGGGTGGGGCAGTTGCGTTCGCCTCTTACTGCGTGACCGTGCGACTGCGCGCTGGGGCTGGTGATGATGATGATGATGATGATGATGATGATGATGATGATGATGATGATGATGATGATGATGATGATGATGATGATGATGATGATGATTATGTTGACGATGTTGATGATGATGATGATGATGATGATGATGGTGTTGATGTTGTTGATGATGATGATGATGATGGTGTTGATGTTGTTGATGTTGATGATGATGGTGATGATGTTAATGATGATGATATTGATGTTGGCGATTAGGATGTCGATGGCGATGACTTTGATGATGTCGATGATGATGGTGATGACGATGATGTTGATAATAGTGATGATGTTGTTAATGATGATGATGATGATGATGATGATGATGGTGATGACGATGATGATGATGGTGATGATGTTGATGTTGACGATGTTGATGATGATGTTGACGATGATGATGTTGATGATGATGATGGTGATGACGATGATGGTGATGATAGTGATGCTGACGGTGTTGTTGATGATGATGATATGAGTTAATTTCAGAATTATCAAAGACCACTTTATCAACGGTGTTTCATTCAAGACTGCTTTTTTGCATTTTCCTTGGAGAACGATAGGGGACTCACTAAAAACGATACCCCTCTGAACATGGTTTGTGAACATGATGCATTCATTCGTGTCTCAAGTGTAATTCTGCTTGCAAGCAATGTGGAGCGTTGAGCGGCGTGAGCGGCTCACAAGCCCGGCGCAAGCTGCGACCTTCGAGCTGGAGCTGCCGAAGTGTAACTTGTGTACCGCGCTTGTACTGAAAGTTGCGACTTGCGACCTGGAAGTTGCAGCCAGCAGGCAAAACCGCCTAAACCGATGGCTGGGCCCAAGCGCGAGGCCGCGCGACCCTTGACCAACAGACAAGGGTAGTTTAGTCCGCTGATCACATGACTACCGCAAGGCAGAGAAGGCTATTGTGTGCTTGCTTGGCTCTAATAGCATATAGCAAAATGTGAAAGTTTTCCGCAACTTGACACACGCCCAGAATGATACCCCTGTCGATACCCCATCGATACCCCTGCAATGTCCCGGACTTGCCCATCCTTCAGCACACAGAAGCCGTTGGATGTCGTGCCTCTTGGGCTTCATGATGAAGCAGCACTGACACGAAGACAGTCAGCCCAACACCATTTGCTGGCAAACTCAGCGGACCAGGCATTTACAGGGTTACCAGATGCCCGCAGCCTGGTAGAGAAGCGACGGCGCCGGGCAGAAAAGCAGCGGAAAGTGCAGAAGGAAGCGGCAAACGCTGCTGAGTCCGACAGCTCCACGTCCACTTCCTCCTCTGGCAGCGACAGCTCAGCCAGCGAAGAGTGAAAAGGTGTGTGGAAGCTTGGGAGTGGGTTTCAACATATCCAGCTTACCCTTATTAAGGGTACCCTGCATGACTGCATGCTGCTTGGGTGCTGTTGGTGTATGCCGATAGAGATGGAACCCGCAGAAGGTGGCGCTTCGTGTTCGAAAGACTACGCATGTAATTACGATGCCAATGCTGTGTTTGCGTAGAAAGTTTGTTGTGCACGGTACGAATTTGCACGGCGCCACAGCGAGAGCGCTTGGGCACGCAGGATCCTTGCAGAGGGTTCGTCGGGCACTTTTCAACTTCGCACCGCGTTACAGCGAGGGCGCTTTGACACGCGCAATCCTCGCAGAGGGTTCGTTGGGCACATTACGAATTCGCAGGGCGCCACAGCGAGAGCGCTTGGGCACGCAGGATCCCTGCAGAGGGTTCGTTGGGCATTTTTCAAATTCGCACGGCGTCGCAGCGAGGGCGCTTTGACACGCCAATCCTCGCAGAGGTTTGGTTGGGCACTGTTCATCGGGCACTGCATGCACGCGCGAAACGTGGAGAACGATAGGGGACTCACTAAAAGTAGAATGAATACTCCCCACACAGCAAATATTGACGCTGGCTCATATAGATGTTGGTGTTGATGTTGATGATGGTGATGATGATGTTGATGTTGATGTTGATGGTCATGATGATGATGATGATGATGGTGATGTTGATGTTGATGGCGATGTTTGTTTTGTTGTTGATGACGATGATGTTGATGTTGATGTTGTTGATGATGATGCTGGTGTTGATGACGATGATGAGATTGATGATGATGATGATGATGATGATGATGATGACTCTGATGTTGATGGTGGTGTTGATGATGATGATGATGATGATGATGGTGTTGATGATGATGATTGATGATGCGTGTTCGTGCGCCTCATCGTGGTGTGCATGGACACTTGGAAAAATGGCCGTGCTGCTGTAAATCACATACACTTGAGCAAAACCGCGTTCAAAAACGAGCCTTCAAAAACGAGCCAAGACACGCGTTCAAAAACGACCACCTTCCCATTTGAGGGCCCTTAAATTTGTTTAATCCGTGCTGTACGGATTGATTGGAATTCGCCCATGTGAGTTGCGGGTGGAAACTTCCCAAGATTGAACCTGCAACAACTTCTTAAGAGCTAACAAGGCCGTGAGGCAACATAGCGGATCCAAGAGCACTTGGCCGCTTGGAGCCGGGTTTGGCATAAGCTTTCACCAGCCTTTCACGTGTCTTTTTTGAGCCCTTGCCATTGGCAAAATGCACCGATTCCTATTTGGGTCTGTCTTTTTTTTCAGCTTGGACCCCCCAAAAGAATGGTTTTTTCGAGGTTCCTGAAGGTTTCTCTTTAGGTTTCCCCAAACAAGGGTACCCTGACACAGAAAGCCCCTCCCATTTTGAACCGTCGGGACTGGGTCTCACAGCGGCAACCCCCGCTGCCAGGCATCCGAAGGATTGGGAGGTGCGGAGGGCGTCGGGTCTCCGGTGCGCCAGGTCTTCGGAACGCTCTTGAAGTTTCACCTTTCACTTACTGGAAAAGGACATACGGGTGTATGTGTGTGTGTGTCTTTTTTGGGGAAGCCCCGAAATGTGATGTTTTCTTCAAAAAAGGGTACTCTCAGAAAAAAGAGACATATACTCACATATATGCCTCTTTTTAAGTAGCACTTGGGTGGACTTTTGGCAGAGGGTTTTCAAGACCCGAGGATGCACCCTCCGAATTACCATGTCCCACTCTCCATGACTTTCAATTAGGGACTCTTGGTGGACATCATGTGGGTTTGTTGTTTTTTTGCCCCCCCCCCCCCGCCGCAAATGGCGGTTTTCCTTTTCGTTCCCCTTCAAAACCAACCAAGAACCCATTTGGGGACTCAATTCCACCACTTTTTGAGTTTCCCTCTTTGAGATGTCACGGCCACTTGGGGGTTGCTTGTGGCCGATAATCCGGCAGCACAATCTCCGGGCTTGGCGAAAGGTCCTGTAGCGCTGATGTCCTCATTGTTTTGAAGGTCCAAGCAAGCTGTTTCTGGCCAGGCAGCTGGATTGTGATTCATTTCTTTCTTTTTCTTTTCCCGGAGGACACATTTTGACTAGCACACATTGTCCGGCCACAGTCAGCGGAAACAGCACGCGGGTGTTGCCAGGTGTTGCGCCAGATCTGCAAAAATTCAGGCCTGACACATGGAACGACCCGTCGCATGAAACCATACAGGGGCTCCCAGTGGGTATGACCCAAGCATGGCCTTACTTTCTCCAACGCGTGTTGCGTACTTGTTGTTTGTCGAGCAAAGGAACCTCGACCTTTCGAAACTAAAGGAATCTATTTCATGAGCAAAGCTCATAAACGAAAGTGCATGATCCAGGTCCACCCTTGGAACCTTGACTTTGAGCAAGCAATGGCAACTGGGCTTGGAAGGTCCGGATTGACCTTACTCGGGAAAAACTCAGTGGGGGAAACGAAGATCACTCGCCTCCAGGCCCCATGCAGGAGGTGACGGTGTGACTCGGCTCGGTGGGCTCAGCTGTTCGATCGGCTCGGCCCAAGGCCCAGCCGAAGGCCTGCGGGGCACGGGGCACGGCAATCCGATGGCTCCGCGGAAGGGGACTTGGACGGGGGTGTGCTTTAAGTGACTTCCATTTGCAGAAGAATATGTTTGGTTATCCCATGTTGGTTTCAAAGCTTGAAAGGACAGCCACCATTTGCTATCCCTTGTTGGTGTTCTAGTTTTGGTGGTTTTCTGGTTTGTTGTCAATTGTTGGTTTCCTTTAGGTGACTGTTTTGTTGTCCCTTGTTGGTTTTGAATGTTTTAAAGGGAATCTACCACTGCTGAAGATATGTTGTTGTTTTTCTTTCCCCAGGGGGCTGAAGCAAATGGAAGATGAGGGGCCCCTGGAGAGTTCGACGGTGAACCAAGGAAAATGGGGGGCAGCAAGTCTGATTCACGGTAGCGGGCAGCAAGTGTCAGGGGGTGGCACCATTGAAATCTAACATGTCCGATTGCAGGATTGATGGGATGAATCCCCGTTGCACTGAATCTATTTAGGCGGGAGTATAATCTCTTCTTGTCATTGAGGGGGCAACTGGAGATTCTGGAAGACTTGCGCCGTAACTCGCCACCAGTCCAACCAGCCGCCGGTCCTCCCTTTTTCGCCGGCGGCGACGAGATCGTGTTCAGAGGCTTTTCGGAGACCCGTCGTGGTGATGGTGGTAAACCAATGAGTCATGAGTTTTTGGGCCAGTCTCTGTCATACCAAGGGAATCCCAGCAATAAGTGACAAAGTAGTCATGGTGATGGCCCAGTGACGCTGGTGGACCCGTGCAGATTTCCCAACTTGGTATCACAGACAGAGTGACCCATTTTCCACAACCACGGTGACGAGGTGATTGTGGGCCTCAACAAGCACAGTAGCAGCAAAGATGAGGGTTGACATCCTGGCGATGTTGCTGGCACAGAAGAGTCAAAGGATCTAGACCCTTCTCGTCCGAGCGGCGTGTTTCCAGAAAGCCTTTCTAGTTTGGAGTCTCTCCACAAGTGAGGCCAGAAAAGGATCCGCGTGCGCTGGTGGTTTGGAACGTGTTCGAGCTGCCAAATACTTTTAGAAGCCTAATCATATTAGAAAAAAGAAACAAGTTTGATGGGCAAACGCAAATAGTTGCTTAAATGGAAGTTGTTGTTGTACTTGGTGGTTTCGATCCAGGGTGTCATTTGGCTTCTGGAAAAAAATGAAGGCTTAACTCACTCCCCGAGTTCCTGGACTTTAAACTTTAGCAAAGGCCATGTTAGCAGTAAATGTGTTTGGCCCATCCACTCAGGAAGTGAGTTGAACGGGTTCCCTTATTCCCTGAAGCTACAATCCTTTTTGCGTAGGGTGCTGGTTGCCACGTGCTACGGACGGCTCGTGAGACATGCACCAAAGTGGATTTTGCTATCTTCCACATCTTCAGAGTTTTGGCGTGTGCCAGATGTAGTTATTTTAATATTTGGGTGGATCTGCAAACATGTTTGCTGGCATACCAAGTTACCAAGGCTTTGGAAGAAACCAAGCGAATGGTTTGAGCTAGAACTTTTTTGACTCCCGGGCACTCAGGACACAGATTCAGCAGAATTACATGCCCCTCATGGAGTGGGAGAACAAAAGGTTTAACAGGCTGAGAAAAGTTCATGCAAGCCACGCGAGTTTATCACCCGCACATAACTCAAGGCGCACTAAACGTTGCCCACAGGAAGACCCATACCTAATGCGTGGTATTGAAACATTTGTCCAACCCGATCTTGCACCAAGTTCAGTGATGCAATCGTGCGGTTGAACAAAAGCGCAACTGATCGGGCCTCTTGTCGGGTCCTTCTGAGTTCAGGCTGTGCCACGCAAAAAAAAGTTGGTCCCTTTGCCCTTTGTTCAAGACTTCAGGTTGGTCCAAAAAGAAGTGATCCATGGTGGTCCTCTTGTTCAAGGGGTCTCTAAGGCCACCCGCACATCTTGTCTGACCCGCGCAAGGATGTGTCTTCTTTCAAGTGCCCAAAACGGAGCGGCCGAACCGCAGCAATTTTTGCCGAAGCGGCGAGGGCCTGCGACGCTGTGCGACTCTTCCTAGCGAGGCACGCGAGCGAAGTGCTTCTGTGGCCGGCCCTATTCAGCGGCCTTCCCCCTGAGTCCGCAATGAAGCAGTGAAGCTGCTTACGAGGTTTCAGAGGCTTTGTGCCTTCGTTTGTTGTTTCAGTCTCATTTGCAAGCTTTTCTGAAGAGTATCATCGCAGAAGTAAGATGTAGATCCCGCACATGCCGTTCCGGTCACATGCCATTCCGGTTGCCACAGATGTTTTGAAACCGAAGGCTCACCTCGAGTAGAAATCCTCTTGGGCTATTTCCTTTGGTTTCGGGATGCAAAAAGTGACAGAAATCCCCGTAAACCTAAATTGGTGGTTCGGATTGGTGGTTTGGATTTGGATTTGACGCCCTGGCTTGAAACGAAAAATGGGAAACAACGGAAACAACCCCTATGTTCCAAACCACCAACCAAGCCACCCACTAGTAGGGTAAGGTAATAGGGGGTCGGAATCTGCGATCCCTGTGAGCATGAGAAGCCCATTGAACTCCTGACGAAATGAGAAGAGGTCCTACAGGTGACCCCTTAGTTGCATGTTTAGATTGGCGGCTTGGGGATTGGAACCTTTGGCTTGTGTAGAGGGGAGCTGATTTATTAATTTTCCGCAAGACAGGGCCCATGCAGCTCTCTTTGTTCGCGCAAGAGAAACCCTCGTCGCAGGCCATGACCATGGAGTGGCATCCGGCTTTCAAGACGTGCGCTTCGGTGCCGGCGTTCGGTGCTAGATGCTGTGCACATTTGGGAATGTCTTTTTTGAGGGTACACCCTTTTTGGTGGTTTTAAAGGGAAGTCCCCAAACAAGGGGTCTTGGGCTTATTGGGTGAGTTTGACTTGCAACAAGCGCAGCTTCCTGCTGGAATCTTGCGAGGCAGCCCAACTTCTCAAATTTCCCAACTTTTTCAGGCCCCCCTTCATCAGTGCTCCAACTGCTGCAAAAGTCCGATCGCCAACTGCCGTGGTCATGCACTCCGCGGGCCCCCCCAAAAGTGGAACTTTTGTTTGGGAGTGTCGATGCCAGCCTGGCTGGTTGTTGTTAACACAACAGTCCAAGTGTAGCATCTGAATGTTCTCTGAAATGAAGCCAATTGGGCCAATGCCAATTCTCGAGGAAGGTCCTGTTTCTGTTTTGCGAGGGGTTGGAAGAAGGTTTAAATCCATGACCAGTCCAGTATCCATGACGAAGTGAAAGATGCTTGATTAAATAGTTGGCTGGTAGGCTTGGTTGTGACTGGCTCGCAAGAAAAGAAACAGAAACGTTGAAGCAGTTGTTGGAGGATGCCTGCGAGAGTGCAGGGATTTCAGTGCCTGATAGAGTGATTCTTTCGAGAGCCGGTCACCGATTGCTTCCCGAGTGTGTTCCTTTTCACCCGCCACGGTTCAGAAATCCAAAAAAAAAAGCCTTGCGTTTTGCATTTTGGTTTTAATGACACTCGTGAGCCCTTGAGGCCTGCTTGAATGGATGGGCAGTTGCATTGTCCACCTTGTGGCTTGGAGAAAAGGATTGTCAGTTTACCTCAGGCAGCCTTTGGTCATGCAAAGTTTGCGGGCAAGCCTAGCCTCAGGGCGGTCCTTTCTAGACCATCTTGAGCACAAAAGCACGGTCGAATGAAAGTGCGCTCGGATGTTTACAAGCCCCCAAAAGTGGGCCCCGGAGACTTCTTTACGGAGACTTCTTTACGCCAATCTGAAGTGTAGGTTTCCTTTTGGTATGCCCAGCTCGTTCCAAGCAAGGCGACAACATCCTGGCTCAATCCGGCTCGTAGCTTTCGCTTTATATGAAAACACATGAATTATTGCTACGTGCTCGGGTGAAAGTAGCGTGATGGATAAAAGGTGCTGCTTTAGCATTAGCTTGTGCCACTAGCTTAACGCCTGGCAAAAACACACAACTGACACATGCCATGGAATCGCAGAAACCCCTTGGCCAGCCGTGAATCTTGTGTCAGTTCCCTTCCGCTTTCTGCATGCTGGCTTCCCTGCGCAGCGAACGGAAAGCAAGATGGTGGGCAAGTATCGAGGCAGGGCTGTGGTTTTGTTTCGCGCGGAGCAAAGCGACGTCCCAACCACCTTAACAAACGGCATTGATTGTGAAGACTAGATAAATGGATTTGGGGGATGAAACGCTGGATGCGTGTTGAACGCGCGAGTCAAATTGGTCTTTGGCTGCACTGGGAAGCTTGTGCACGGTGGCCTGTTTGGCTGGTTTGAAGTGTAGATAAGTGTAGCTGTAGCTTGTTTGACTTTAGTTTCGATTTTTCCTTGGCCCTTGTTTGGCTTGTGTGCGGTTTCGTTTGGCATTTAGTACCTTTTTTGGCTATTACTTTGTTGCGAACGGCAGAAGCAACAGATCAAGACCTCACTTTCCTCGAATTTCCGGACTTGACCTTTGTGACTTGGAAACACACTTCAGGGAGCCATTGGATTTGGTCGCTTTTGGTTTATTGACAAATTGTTGCTCCATATTTGCCCAATACGCTGTGTTTTGGCTCAAGTAAAAGTCCTCCGCAGCGGACCTAGAGCTGAATAAGTCACTTTTCATGGTAGCGGGAACCGGTGAGGATCCAGGCAGACGGAGCATCTGGTATTTTGGTTCTACACCGAAAGGCGCGGAAAGGGCGCAAAGGGCGCCAAGTTCCTCCCTGGCGCAAGGGAGCTTCAGCCGGGAAGGGCCCCCGGCAGGCTCCAGCGGCTGAGGAAGGAAGCCGCAGAGCCGCCGGCCGAAGAGAAGGCCGAGGAGGAGCCGGACTGGTCGCCAGACGAGCCAGCTCCGGAGGAGCCAGCCGAGCCTACGAAGGAGTTCAAGGAGCTTGAGAGCAAGGAGCCAAAGCCGGTGGTTTCGGACAATTCGGATTGGGGGGAGTGGAAGCCCAAGTGCGACCCCCGTTGCGAGCCACTCAGGAGGCACAGGGATCGCAGCAGGCAAGTTTGGCAGCATTGGCACAAGGCGTAGGTGAATTGGCACAGGCGTTGAGGAAGGATGAACCTAGGAAGCTTCTTGTTGGCACGAAAGGGATTGGTAAGCCGGAACACGTTCATAATGAAGAGCAGAGTTTCCGGAGATGGGTCCGAACGGTCAACAACCTTGTCACCAGCATTTTCGGGAAATAATTTGAAGAGATCACCAATCGAAGCCCTAGAGGCAAAGCAAGGGGGTGTCGGACGGTGGGCTGGCTGACTACTCCGACTTCTTTCATCATTGGCCCATACAGAGTCAGAAGACATGGTCATTGGCTTCAAGTGAGGGTACGCAGCATGGTGGGATCCCCATTCTCCGAGCCATCTTGAATCCCGAACGGGTTAAATCGATCTTGGGATTCAGTTAGGGCAGCAATCGAACAGCTGGACGATCTTGTCCGGAGGTACGAAAGCCGTCGTTCCGAAACAGGTGAAAGGGAACGGCTTTCGGACGACATAAAGAGTGCTGCTTTGGAAATGATGGTTCCGAGAGATAGATAGACACCTTATCCTCAACAAGAACCGCCTAACACCTACTCCGACATGAAGACTGAAATCGAGGTCCTGATCAAGTCAGCAGTCGGAGCAAAACGGAAAACTGCCCGGCCAGGTACCGCGGGTTTTAGCCAGGGACCCGCTCCAATGGACGGTGACGGCCTCAGGCAGGCGATCAACAGCATCATCGAAGGATCGGGACCCAGATTGCAAAGGTCGGGGAAGGGCAAGGGCGTGTTTCAATTGCGGTAAACTCGGACATAGGGCGGCAGACTGCTGGAGTAAGAAGAAGGATACTGGCAAAGGCTCAGCAAAGGCTCAACCAAAGGCAGAAAGGGTGCCAACGCACTGGATGAAGCGGAAGAAGAGGAAGCAGAAAAACCTGAAAGAGAGCATGATGTTGGCATGTTTGAGTTGGGTGCACTGACCACTGGAGAGTGCCTCCAGAGCATGGAATGGGTCAGGTTTAGTCTTGACACAGGCGCAGCTCAGACAGCCATTCCGTCAACTTGGCAAGATAGGGTTCAAGTCAAGGAAGGCACGGATGTGTTGTTCAAGACTGCCTCAGGAGAAACTTTTCTGTGGGACCGGAACAGGAATCTTCAAAGGAGTAGGAGAAGCAGGACAATGGTGCAGTGTGACTGGACCCTTGACACCAGTACCTTCTGCTTGAAGCACGGGAGGCTGACGCAGATGGCAAATGTGATCCCGCGAGACTCCAGGTTGGGAAAGAAGATCATGGAGTTGATTGAGAAGGAGCAGTACCAGGACCAGGCCAAGGCATGGATCCCGGTCTATCAGGAGAAGGGTGTCTACAACTTCTAAGGCCGGGCTTTGGGCGGTATTAAGACCGGCCCAACCCATGGCAGCGGCAGATGCCGCGCCAGCCGGCCAAGGAGCATGATGGGGCACCTGACGGCCGACCAGATGGTGTTCCATGCAATGAAGAGATCGAGATGGCCGTTTCAGCCATTCTGCAAGCGCCAGAGGCCCCTACACGAAGAGAGGCGCAAGGCAACAGGCCACGTGCAGTATATAGGAGCTGGTGCAGACATTGCCTTGCCGGCAGAGGTTTAGGCCAGCAGCATAGAAGCAGGCCTGAAGAAGCCAAGGATGAGCTCGCGATCATTGCGTGTGAGTGCACGTGGATGACCAAGGATGGAGGGGAAGACGGGAAGGCGCGACCGTCATCACGGACAGCAAGTGCAGCCACGTTTGTAGGTGCTAAGGGACCTACGCCCTACGCGGTGAAGTTCTTAGCTTCCTACATCATCTAGGCTACCGACGTGCCGTCATGATGAGTGACGGAGAGCATGCAGTGGTTGCACTGAAGGAGCCAGTTGCTCGTGAAGCGGGATTGGAAATGGTTTCGCAGGAGACTTGTATAGGATCATAGGAGTAACAGACTAGCGGAGAATGCTGTCCGTGAACTCAAGAGGCAGGTCCGTATCTTGAGGTGGTCGTCGCTTGAGGCAGATCGGCAGGGTTCTTTGTGAAGACGGCCCGATCTTGGCGTGGCTATACCTAGGCATGTGCCGGTACCGGGAGGATGGCCGGAATGCAGAAAACAGGAGGTGCGGAAGAAACTGGAGGAAGCTTGCCATCGCGATAGGCGAGAGGATGTACTACCGTGAGGCAGGAGAAGGAGTCGGACCACTCAGCGAAGTCGGTACATCGGCCATTATGGCCGGACAGGATCACTCTTGCTAGATGACAGCCGAAAGGAGTGAAGAGGCGCTGGCAGAGGACTTGAAGCGGCTGCGCAGGTATTTGGCCAAGAAGCCTGATATTAGAAAAGTGTTTCTAGACAGGCAAAGCCATCGAAGCTGCGGGTTCAGGTCGGCTCCGACCACGCAGGCGATGCGGTCACCCGTCCGTCCATGACAGGTATGATCGCTTTGTGTGGCGAGCATGTTTTGAAGCAAGCGAGCAACGTGGAGTCAACGAATGCCCTATCGACCGGCGAGTCTGAGTACTACGCTTTGATAAAGGGTGGATCGGTAGGACTAGGGTTGCAAGCCTTGTTTTAAGATTTTCAAGTTCCCAATTCAGTAGTGGTAGAGTCAGATGCTACTGCTGCTAAGGGTACTGTAAATAGGATCGGACTAGGCAAGGCTGGACGTACCCAGAGCAGATATCTCTGGCTCCAGGAACGAGTAGCGATGGACCACTTGAAGGTCATTCATGCGCCAGGCAAGCGCAACCGTGCCGACATGCTCATAATAAGAGCGCGCCGGGTGCGCAGATGGAAGAGACTTTGCGTAGATCAGGATACGTTTTCTTGGTTGAACGCCGTAAAGGTCAGCTTGGATTCCTCGGATCGTAAAGGTCCCTGGTCCAGGCTCCGCTACGAGTTCTTGGGAGTTTGCTGTGAAATCAGCCCACGAGGGCTGCTCCACCAGCAAGGAGGAGTGACAAGTTGTTGCTCCATATATGCCCAATACGCATGTGCCGGTTGTGCGACTCTGTGTTTTGGCTCAAGTAAAAGTCCGCTCCGCAGCGGACCTGGAGCTGAATAAGTCACTTTTCATTTATTGGAATTGGGGTAGGCTCTACGTGGGGCCCTTGACAACTATAGGAGTTTTGATAAACTGACCGGCTGTTTGTTTTTCCTTGGCTCTTTGTTTCGACCAAAGTATTCTTTGAAGCTAAAAAAAGAAAGGGTTCCTTGTCCCCTACTCGCAATTTACATGGAACCCATCTGCATATCACTCCAAGGTTTGCGCCCAAGGTGTTCCAGTCAAACGCAACCTTCCGGGTCGTTCGTGAACGGTGGGTGTGCTCACAGAGCAATTTTTCTCGGAAGATGAACCTCGTGCATTCTCATTCTGAGAACAGAGTACGATGCCTTGTTAAACCCGCAGACCTCACGTTGAGCTCAGAGCTCATTCCCATGATGCAGGTTCGACTCGCTTCAGGTGCGTATTCCAGATAGGCTGATTGATTCAACCATATCCTGGAATCTAATCGAGTGGTAAGGGATACCATGGCCAGGGTATCAGCTCATAGCTGGTCATGACCATTTTGGCTTGGTTCGAAGGGACATCAATTAAAAGCCACCTCTAAATCATGGCCACCATTGTGAGACGAACCGACGAACCCAGCTATTAGCTGATGCTTGGCTCCGAGAGAGGGCGTATCCAACTTTGAGGAAGGTGCCTTTCGGAGCTAACAGAAGTTCAAGGACATGTTAGTCGTAGTGCACTTCCGGTTTCTGGCGATTTGATATGCATTGGTTGACGTATGGTTTGACCGTCGACAGTTTCACCATCCTGGACCCCCAAACGACTACAATGTTCTGGCAATGTTTGCTTTTGTATGCATTGTAGCGCACACGTGCGCTTTCCACAAACGAAGCAGCCGCAAACGTCCGCCGTTAAGAACGCCACACAGAAGGCCTCAAAAAAACAAAAATCACCTCAACAGACAAACAAACACATCGCTGTTTGAGGGTCCAGGTGGAGTAATGACAATATCTTCTCTGAGTAGCAAACAGTTGGACTATTAGCATGACGTCTACGTCCAGCCCAGTAGTCTAAAGGGGATATAGGAGCCACAAAGCAGCCGAACTAGGTGAGCCACATTTGGGGACCTCAAGGTATGTGTTTTCCCTCTGACACAACTAAAGAAACGGGGTTACGATGTCAGCAAGCATACATCCATCATTGCACTCTTGAGTGTAAAGGCAGACTTGAGGGAGGATCCATATTGTGATGTTGTCCCACCGCTCTGAGTCAACGTTGTCAAAGGGTTTTGCAATGAGGGCATATTGTCCATTCTTCACATTCCAGAACTAGTGCCCTGTAGGTCAGGGAAGTCGAAAGGCAATGTCGGCACCCTGATGTGGGTCATCCATTATGGCCAACATGGGTGTATCTATCAGACTCGTAAAGCTGGTTGGTTGTGGTTTCTATGCAAGCACCATCCAACAACGGCCCTCATCTTAGCTTTTTAGGTGTTTAGTTGGTTTAGTGGTACAATGCCATCTAACCCACGCAAAAGGTATTCACCTTTAGGACGCGATCCGAGGGCTGAGCAGTTTGCTTGGCCCGTCGCATCGCGCCCGGCCCGGGGTCAGGCAAGGTGTTGGTGCCCTACGCGAAGCGGCGTGAGCTCGAAGAGAGGGAGGAGATGAGGCCGACGTCCAGCGAGCGAGCCTTCGGTCGGTCGGGAGTGAGACGCAGCTTCCCTCCGAGTTTCTGGGAAGTGTATCTTCGATTTGCTGAAATGACGATGTTTGTTTAGATGTCCCTGGTTTTAAACGGAATCGGTTTGAGCAAATGGAGGTTGCGCATTCTTTGGTAGCAAGCAACAAGTTTGGACTTCGTGTGGCCTACCGGTAAGGACGTCACTAGGGTTGCGAGGTCGCGTAAACTTGGCGGTTCCCAGCCGTCCCGTTCCTCAGGTTTTTAGGTGTTCAATGTTTTCAGATGGTTTAGTGACGTGGTTTGAAAGGCCCATTTGTGTTTGGAGCCCTGAGTGTCGTTTTGTGAATACCTTGCTCCCAACTCGAGACATGAATCACCCCTTGCACTGAGAAAGCAGCCTTGGAGTCAAGCGGCCTTGCACGGAGAATGCATCCCACCCAAACAAACACTGCTTGCACTGGGGATTCGCTCGGGCTTGCGCGAATCTTCTTTGGTAGGGCCTCATCGAATTTGCTATTGGCATGTTGCAAAGGATCAACCGCTGCAGCCAAATGGCGTCTCAACAGGTAAAGCCTGTACTACGTGGTGCAAAGTTTGGGTGGAACATATCATGAGCCCTGCCCCCTCAATGACTGGCGCTTGAGCGCGTTTGCAGGCTCAGCGACAACTGGCCAGAAGACACCCCCATGGAGCTCATTGACGACATCAAGGCACACAGCCTCATGTTTGAAGGGAAGTGCCTGTGTCAAGGTCCCGAGTATTTCTCCTTTGGTTGCTTTGGGTATTACTTTTGGGCCAAAATTCAAGTGGGCTTTCTTATGATGGGGGGGGGGGTGATGTTTAAAGGGGCAATACACGGAATCCTGAGTGTGTGTGTGTACTAGCTACAGCACCGCCGGCATGTTCATGCGGGCACTTTGTTCCGAGCAGTGGAATACCAGCAAAAATAGGCCACAGAAGAACACTTCGCGAAAGTCACGGTATGTTTGCTGACTGATTCTCTCTTGTTTGTTCGTGTGCGAAATTACGTGCTGACTGCCTGTGACGTGCGTTCCTATGTGGTGCGCTTGAATGGTGGCTGCATTTGTATGCCTGGCTGAGCAGTTGTGCTTCGGTCAGGAACGTGTGGTGCAGAACGCTTTGTCGGGGTGAAGAGTGATTTGTCCCAAGCTTCTACTCACATAGATTCCAAGCCCGACATTGATAACTTTCCTGCTAGAACCTTTGTTGCATGCGGTCTGTCTGGCAGCGTGGGTGGCAATAACCTCGGCTGTGGTCTTTATGACTGCAAGAGCCATGTTGCAGTCGGTCTTGCGGCGCAGCGAACAGGACAACTGCAGCCGTGCTATTGTCGCTGCATCCATGCGTCATTGGCCGTGTGCTTCCCTTTGTATGTTTGTATTTGTGTGTGTGTGTGTCTGCCTTTGCGCGTGCTCATATGATGTCCGATCTTGTGTGTGCGCTTGAGTAGCGGCTGCATCCGTATTACCCGACTGAGCAGTTGTGCTTAGGTCGGGGACCTGTGGTGCAGACAGGGGCTCTGGCAGCTTGGTTCAGCAGTGCTGGTTGTTTGGCCACAGCTGCTGCGATCATTGTCCCATTTGCTGCTTACACAGATTCCAAGCAAGGCATTGCATCAAAGCATCAAGGGAGAAAAGGATGACTTAGCTGGATTGGTTGTGTTTTCTGTTCGTGATTCTTGTGTCTCTGTTGTATGCGGTCTGTCTGGCAGCGTGGTTGGCAATAGCCTCGGCTGTGGTCTTTATGACTGCAAGAGCCATGTTGCAGTCGGTCTTGCGGCGCAGCGAACAGGACAACTGCAGCCGTGCTATTGTTGCTGCAGCCACGCGATATTTGCCGCGTGCTTCCCTTTGTATGTTTGTTATTTGTGTGTGTGTGTGTCTCTGCCTGTGCACGTGCTGACGGCCTATGATGTCCGATCTTGTGTGTGCGCTTGAGTAGCGGCTGCATCCGTATTACCCGACTGAGCAGTTGTGCTTAGGTCGGGGACCTGTGGTGCAGAAAGGGGCTCTGGCAGCTTGGTTCAGCAGTGCTGGTTGTTTGGCCACAGCTGCTGTAGTCATTGTCCCATGTGCTGCTTACACAGATTCCAAGCAAGGCATTGCACCAAAGCATCAAGAGAGAAAAGGATGACTTAGCTGGATTGGTTGTGTTTTCTGTTCGTGATTCTTGTGTCGCTGTTGTATGCGGTCTGTCTGGCAGCGTGGTTGGCAATAGCCCCGGCTGTGGTCTTTATGACTGCAAGAGCCATGTTGCAGTCGGTCTTGCGGCGCAGCGAACAGGACAACTGCAGCCGTGCTATTGTCGCTGCAGCCACGCGATACTTGCCGCGTGCTTCCCTTTGTATGTTTGTATTTGTGTGTGTGTGTCTGCCTTTGCGCGTGCTCATATGATGTCCGATCTTGTGTGTGCGCTTGAGTAGCGGCTGCATCCGTATTACCCGACTGAGCAGTTGTGCTTAGGTCGGGGACCTGTGGTGCAGACAGGGGCTCTGGCAGCTTGGTTCAGCAGTGCTGGTTGTTTGGCCACAGCTGCTGCGATCATTGTCCCATTTGCTGCTTACACAGATTCCAAGCAAGGCATTGCATCAAAGCATCAAGGGAGAACAGGATTACTTAGCAGCGATTGGTTGTTCTTTTGTGTTCGTGATTCTTGTGTCTCTCCTGTATGCGGTCTGTTTGGCAGCGTGGTTGGCAATGACCTCGGTTGTGGTCTTTATGACTGCAAGAGCCATGTTGCAGTCGGTCTTGCGGCGCAGCGAACAGGACAACTGCAGCCGTGCTATTGTTGCTGCAGCCACGCGATATTTGCCGCGTGCTTCCCTTTGTATGTTTGTTATTTGTGTGTGTGTGTGTGTCTCTGCCTGTGCACGTGCTGACGGCCTATGATGTCCGATCTTGTGTGTGCGCTTGGGCGGGTGCATCCGTATTACCCGACTGGGCAGTTGTGCTTAGGTCGGGGACCTGTGGTGCAGACAGGGGCTTTGGCAGCTTGGTTCAGCAGTGCTGGTTGTTTGGTGCAGCTGCTGCAGTCATTGTCCCATGTGCTGCTTACACAGCTTTGAAGCAAGGCATTGCATCAAAGCATCAAGAGAGAAAAGGATGACTTAGCCGCAATTGGTTGTGTTTTTTGTCTGTGTTTCTTGTGTCTCCGTTGTATGCGGTCTGTCTGGCAGCGTGGTTGGCAATGACCTCGGCTGTGGTCTTTATGGCTGCAAGAGCCATGTTGCAGTCGGTCTTGCGGCGCAGTGAACATGACAACTGCAGCCGTGCTATTGTTGCTGCAGCCACGGGATATTTGCCGTGTGCTTCCCTTTGCATGTTTGTATTTGCGCGTGTGTCTCTGCCTTTGCGCGTGCTGACGGCCTATGATGTTTGTGCGTGCTTGAGTAGCGGCTGCATCCGTATTACCCGACTGGGCAGTTGTGCTTAGGTCGGGGACCTGTGGTGCAGAAAGGGGCTTTGGCAGCTTGGTTCAGCAGTGCTGGTTGTTTGGTGCAGCTGCTGCAGTCATTGTCCCATGTGCTGCTTACACAGCTTTGAAGCATCAAGAGAGAAAAGGGTTACTTAGCCGCGATTGGTTGTGGTTTCTGTTTGTGTTTCTTGTGTGTCTCTTGTGTGCGGTCTGTCTGGCAGCGTGGTTGGCAATAACCTCGGCTGTGGTCTTAATGACTGCAAGAGCCATGTTGCAGTCGGTCTTGCGGCGCAGCGAACATGACAACTGCAGCCGTGCTATTGTTGCTGCAGCCACGGATATTTGCCGTGTGCTTCCCTTTGCATGTTTGTTATTTGTGTGTGTGTCTCTGCCTTTGCGCGGGCTGACAGCCTATGATGTCCGATCCTGTGTGTGCGCTTGAGTAGCGGCTGCATCCGTATTACCCGACTGGGCAGTTGTGCTTAGGTCGGGGACCTGTGGTGCAGACAGGGGCTTTGGCAGCTTGGTTCAGCAGTGCTGGTTGTTTGGTGCAGCTGCTGCAGTCATTGTCCCATGTGCTGCTTACACAGCTTTGAAGCAAGGCATTGCATCAAAGCATCAAGAGAGAACAGGATGACTTGGCCGCGATTGGTTGTTCTTTTCTGTTCGTGATTCTTGTGTCTCTGTTGTATGCGGTCTGTCTGGCAGCGTGGTTGGCAATGACCTCGGCTGTGGTCTTTATGACTGCAAGAGCCATGTTGCAGTCGGTCTTGCGGCGCAGCGAGCATGACAACTGCAGCCGTGCTATTGTTGCTGCAGCCACGCGATATTTGCCGCGTGCTTCCCTTTGTATGTTTGTTATTTGTGTGTGTGTCTCTGCCTTTGCACGTGTCGACGGCCTGTGATGTCCGATCTTGTGTGTTCGCTTGGGTGGCTGCATCCGTATTACCCGACTGGGCAGTTGTGCTTAGGTCGGGGACCTGTGGTGCAGAAAGGGGCTCTGGCAGCTTGGTTCAGCAGTGCTGGTTGTTTGGTGCAGCTGCTGCAGTCATTGTCCCATGTGCTGCTTACACAGCTTTGAAGCAAGGCATTGCATCAAAACATCAAGAGAGAGCAGGATTGCTTACCCGCGATTGGTTGTTCTTTCTGTTCGTGATTCTTGTGTCTCCGTTGTATGCGGTCTGTCTGGCAGCGTGGTTGGCAATGACCTCGGCTGTGGTCTTTATGACTGCAAGAGCCATGTTGCAGTCGGTCTTGCGGCGCAGCGAACATGACAACTGCAGCCCTGCTATTGTCGCTGCAGCCACGCGATATTTGCCGCGTTTTTTCCCTTTGGTTGTTTGTATTTGTGTGTGTGTGTGTGTGTGTCTGCCTTTGCGCGTGCTGACGGCCTATGATGTCCGATTTTGTGTGTATGCATGCGTATTACCCGACTGGGCAGTTGTGCTTAGGTCGGGGACCTGTGGTGCAGACAGGGGCTCTGGCAGCTTGGTTCAGCAGTGCTGGTTGTTTGGTGCAGCTGCTGCAGTCATTGTCCCATGTGCTGCTTACACAGCTTTGAAGCATCAAGAGAGAACAGGATTACTTAGCAGCGATTGGTTGTTCTTTTGTGTTCGTGATTCTTGTGTCTCTGTTGTATGCGGTCTGTCTGGCAGCGTGGTTGGCAATGACCTCGGCTGTGGTGTTTATGACTGCAAGAGCCATGTTGCAGTCGGTCTTGCGGCGCAGCGAACAGGACAACTGCAGCCGTGCTATTGTTGCTGCAGCCACGCGATACTTGCCGCGTGCTGTGCTTTGTATGTTTGATTTTGTGTGTGTGTGTGTCTCTGCCTTTGCACGTGTCGACGGCCTGTGATGTCCGATCTTGTGTGTTCGCTTGGGTGGCTGCATCCGTATTACCCGACTGGGCAGTTGTGCTTAGGTCGGGGACCTGTGGTGCAGACAGGGGCTTTGGCAGCTTGGTTCAGCAGTGCTGGTTGTTTGGTGTAGCTGCTGCAGTCATTGTGCCATGTGCTGCTTACACAACTTTGAAGCATCAAGAGAGAAAAGGGTTACTTAGCCGCGATTGGTTGTGGTTTCTGTTTGTGTTTTTTGTGTGTCTCTTGTGTGCGGTCTGTCTGGCAGCGTGGTTGGCAATAACCTCGGCTGTGGTCTTAATGACTGCAAGAGCCATGTTGCAGTCGGTCTTGCGGCGCAGCGAACATGACAACTGCAGCCGTGCTATTGTTGCTGCAGCCACGCGATATTTGGCGTGTGCTTCCCTTTGCATGTTTGTATTTGCGCGTGTGTCTCTGCCTTTGCCCGTGCTGACGGCCTATGATGTCCGATCTTGTTTGTGCGTGCTTGAGTAGCGCCTGCATCCGTATTACCCGACCGGGCAGTTGTGCTTAGGTCGGGAACCTGTGCAAAGTATTAAGAGAGAACAGGATGACTTAGCCGCGACTGGCTTTGTTTCTGTTCGTGATTCTTGTGTCTCTGTTGTATGCGGTCTGTCTGGCAGCGTGGTTGGCAATGACCTCGGCTGTGGTCTTTATGACTGCAAGAGCCATGTTGCAGTCGGTCTTGCGGCGCAGCGAACATGACAACTGCAGCCGTGCTATTGTACTGCAGCCACGCGATATTTGCCGCGTTTTTCCCTTTGGTTGTTTGTATGTGTGTGTGTGTGTGTCTCTGCCTGTGCACGTGCTGACGGCCTATGATGTCCGATCTTGTGTGTGCGCTTGGGCGGGTGCATCCGTATTACCCGACTGGGCAGTTGTGCTTAGGTCGGGGACCTGTGGTGCAGACAGGGGCTTTGGCAGCTTGGTTCAGCAGTGCTGGTTGTTTGGTGTAGCTGCTGCAGTCATTGTCCCATGTGCTGCTTGCACAGCTTTGAAGCAAGGCATTGCATAAGCATCAAGAGAGAACAGGATTACTTAGCCGCGATTGGTTGTTCTTTTGTGTTCGTGATTCTTGTGTCTCTGTTGTATGCGGTCTGTCTGGCAGCGTGGTTGGCAATGACCTCGGCTGTGGTCTTTATGACTGCAAGAGCCATGTTGCAGTCGGTCTTGCGGCGCAGCGAACATGACAACTGCAGCCGTGCTATTGTTGCTGCAGCCACGCGATACTTGCCGCGTGCTTCCCTTTGCATGTTTGTTATTTGTGTGTGTGTCTCTGCCTTTGCACGTGTCGACGGCCTATGATGTCCGATCTTGTGTGTTCGCTTGGGTGGCTGCATCCGTATTACCCGACTCGGCAGTTGTGCTTAGGTCGGGGACCTGTGGTGCAGACAGGGGCTTTGGCAGCTTGGTTCAGCAGTGCTGGTTGTTTGGTGTAGCTGCTGCAGTCATTGTCCCATGTGCTGCTCACACAGCTTTGAAGCAAGGCATTGCATAAGCATCAAGAGAGAACAGGATTACTTAGCCGCGATTGGTTGTTCTTTTCTGTTCGTGATTCTTGTGTCTCTGTTGTATGCGGTCTGTCTGGCAGCGTGGTTGGCAATGACCTCGGCTGTGGTCTTTATGACTGCAAGAGCCATGTTGCAGTCGGTCTTGCGGCGCAGCGAACATGACAACTGCAGCCGTGCTATTGTTGCTGCAGCCACGCGATATTTGCCACGTGCTTCGCTTTGCATGTTTGTATTTGTGTGTGTGTCTTTGCCTTTGCACGTGTCGACGGCCTATGATGTCCGATCTTGTGTGTGCGCTTGGGTGGCTGCATCCGTATTACCCGACTGGGCAGTTGTGCTTAGGTCGGGGACCTGTGGTGCAGAAAGGGGCTTTGGCAGCTTGGTTCAGCAGTGCTGGTTGTTTGGTGCAGCTGCTGCAGTCATTGTCCCATGTGCTGCTTACACAGCTTTGAAGCAAGGCATTGCATAAGCATCAAGAGAGAGCAGGATTACTTAGCCGCGCTTGGTTGTTCTTTTCTCTTCGTGATTCTTGTGTCTCTGTTGTATGCGGTCTGTCTGGCAGCGTGGTTGGCAATAACCTCGGCTGTGGTCTTTGTGACTGCAAGAGCCATGTTGCAGTCGGTCTTGCGGCGCAGCGAACAGGACAACTGCAGCCGTGCTATTGTTGCTGCAGCCACGCGATATTTGCCGTGTGCTCCCCTTTGCATGTTTGTATTTGCGCGTGTGTCTCTGCCTTTGCGCGTGCTGACGGCCTATGATTTCCGATCCTGTGTGTGCGCTTGAGTAGCGGCTGCATCCGTATTACCCGACTGGGCAGTTGTGCTTAGGTCGGGGACCTGTGGTGCAGACAGGGGCTTTGGCAGCTTGGTTCAGCAGTGCTGGTTGTTTGGTGCAGCTGCTGCAGTCATTGTCTCATGTGCTGCTTACACAGCTTCGAAGCAAGGCATTGCATCAAAGCATCAAGACAGAGCAGGATTACTTGGCCGCGATTGGTTGTTCTTTTCTGTTCGTGATTCTTGTGTCTCTGTTGTATGCGGTCTGTCTGGCAGCGTGGTTGGCAATGACCTCGGCTGTGGTCTTTGTGACTGCAAGAGCCATGTTGCAGTCGGTCTTGCGGCGCAGGGATCATGACAACTGCAGCCGTGCTATTGTTGCTGCAGCCACGCGATATTTGCCGCGTGCTTCCCTTTGTACGTTTGTTATTTGTGTGTGTGTGTCTCTGTCTTTCCACGTGCTGACGGCCTATGATGTCCGTCTTGTGTGTGCGCTTGGGTGGCTGCATCCGTATTACCCGACTGGGCATTTGTGCTTAGGTCGGGGACCTGTGGTGCAGAAAGGGGCTCTGGCAGCTTGGTTCAGCAGTGCTGGTTGTTTGGTGCAGCTGCTGCAGTCATTGTCCCATGTGCTGCTTACACAGCTTTGAAGCAAGGCATTGCATCAAAGCATCAAGAGAGAACAGGATTACTTAGCCGCGCTTGGTTGTTCTTTTCTGTTCGTGATTCTTGTGTCCGTGTTGTATGCGGTCTGTCTGGCAGCGTGGTTGGCAATAACCTCGGCTGTGGTCTTTATGACTGCAAGAGCCATGTTGCAGTCGGTCTTGCGGCGCAGCGAACAGGACAACTGCAGCCGTGCTATTGTTGCTGCAGCCACGCGATATTTGCCACGTGCTTCGCTTTGCATGTTTGTATTTGTGTGTGTGTCTCTGCCTTTGCACGTGCTGACAGCCTATGATGTCCGATCTTGCGTGTGCGCCTGGGTGGCTGCATCCGTATTACCCGACTGGGCAGTTGTGCTTAGGTCGGGGACCTGTGGTGCAGACAGGGGCTTTGGCAGCTTGGTTCAGCAGTGCTGGTTGTTTGGTGCAGCTGCTGCAGTCATTGTCCCATGTTCTGCTTACACAGCTTCGAAGCAAGGCATTGCATCAAAGCATCAAGACAGAGCAGGATTACTTAGCCGCGCTTGGTTGTTCTTTTCTGTTCGTGATTCTTGTGTCTCTGTTGTATGCGATCTGTCTGGCAGCGTGGTTGGCAATAACCTCGGCTGTGGTCTTTGTGACTGCAAGAGCCATGTTGCAGTCGGTCTTGCGGCGCAGCGAACATGACAACTGCAGCCGTGCTATTGTTGCTGCAGCCACGCGATATTTGCCGTGTGCTTCCCTTTGCATGTTTGTATTTGCGCGTGTGTGTCTGCCTTTGCGCGGGCTGACAGCCTATGATGTCCGATCCTGTGTGTGCGCTTGAGTAGCGGCTGCATCCGTATTACCCGACTGGGCAGTTGTGCTTAGGTCGGGGACCTGTGGTGCAGACAGGGGCTTTGGCAGCTTGGTTCAGCAGTGCTGGTTGTTTGGTGCAGCTGCTGCAGTCATTGTCCCATGTTCTGCTTACACAGCTTCGAAGCAAGGCATTGCATCAAAGCATCAAGACAGAGCAGGATTACTTAGCCGCGCTTGGTTGTTCTTTTCTGTTCGTGATTCTTGTGTCTCTGTTGTATGCGGTCTGTCTGGCAGCGTGGTTGGCAATAACCTCGGCTGTGGTCTTTGTGACTGCAAGAGCCATGTTGCAGTCGGTCTTGCGGCGCAGCGAACATGACAACTGCAGCCGTGCTATTGTTGCTGCAGCCACGCGATATTTGCCGTGTGCTTCCCTTTGCATGTTTGTATTTGCGCGTGTGTGTCTGCCTTTGCGCGGGCTGACAGCCTATGATGTCCGATCCTGTGTGTGCGCTTGGGTGGCTGCATCCGTATTACCCGACTGGGCATTTGTGCTTAGGTCGGGGACCTGTGGTGCAGAAAGGGGCTCTGGCAGCTTGGTTCAGCAGTGCTGGTTGTTTGGTGCAGCTGCTGCAGTCATTGTCCCATGTGCTGCTTACACAGCTTCGAAGCAAGGCATTGCATCAAAGCATCAAGAGAGAACAGGATTACTTAGCCGCGCTTGGTTGTTCTTTTCTGTTCGTGATTCTTGTGTCCGTGTTGTATGCGGTCTGTCTGGCAGCGTGGTTGGCAATAACCTCGGCTGTGGTCTTTATGGCTGCAAGAGCCATGTTGCAGTCGGTCTTGCGGCGCAGCGAACATGACAACTGCAGCCGTGCTATTGTTGCTGCAGCCACGCGCTATTTGCCGCGTGCTGTGCTTTGTATGTTTGTATTTGTGTGTGTGTGTCTGCCTTTGCGCTGGCTGACAGCCTATGATGTCCGATCTTGTGTGTGCGTGCTTGAGTAGCGGCTGCATCCGTATTACCCGACTGAGCAGTTGTGCTTAGGTCGGGGACCTGTGGTGCAGACAGCGGGCTTGTTTGAGCGCAGTTTTTCTTTTGGCACAATCCCTTATGCTGCATGTGTTTATATTTCTTACAGTTTTCTTACGTATGTTTTCTTGGCAGGTGATTCGTTACTTCTTGCTGGCCTTTTCTCATTTTTTCAGATCCGTCTCCGCCAGCGTTTGCCGATTGCTTCGATTTGTTCAGCTGGACTTCCCGCTACCTTTGCCCCAAAAGCTCGGATTTCTAGATATCTGACTTTAGAAATCCCAATCTGACTGTAGATATCTACATTGTACGTATCTCATCCCAAGCTGACCTTTTTGAAGCCCAAGCTCCGGCTCAACCCCTCGGCCAGGTGCGGTACCTCTTGGGCGCCAATGGCCTGAGACTCAAGGAGAGAAGGGCTCGCGTTTTTGGAAACCTCCCGCCCCTTCAACAAGAAACAACAACTTAGGGGAATGGTTTTAAGATGCTCTTATATATATATATATAGATATGTATATATATAGCCACGCTTTCAGAGTTGGCACGAAAAGGTTTTGATTTTTTTTTGTTTTAACCATGCAGTGGAGTTGGCACGAAAAAGGGGGAGTGATTTCGATTGGATGTGGAAATGCTTTGGTTTCTCCGCGGGTTTTCGCTTAAAGCCCCAAGAGGTGGTGAAGGCATAGGTTCGGGTTGGCAGGAATGGTCATGGACCCCTTTAGCATGGATGGCCGATGCGATTCGGCTCGATTCGATTTTTCGATTCGACTAGGGCCGAAGCGATTCGACCGATCCGATTCGACCAGCTTGCAAGGCTCCGGGGGCACAACTGATGGAAGTCTCCAGAAACAGCGTGCTCCCAGATGCGTTTTCCCGGCTCCGAAAAATGTATCTAGACGAGCGGTGGAGTCTCAAGGCAGCTCCTAGAAGGAGCATGCTCCCAGATGCGTTTTCCTGGCTCCGAAAAATGCATTTGGACAAGCGGTGGGTTCTCGAGGCAGCTCCTAGAAGGAGCATGCTCCCAGATGCGTTTTCCCGGCCCCGAAAAATGCATCTAGACGAGTGGTGGATTCTCAAGGCAGCTCCTAGAAGGAGCACGCTCCCACATGCGTTTTCCCGGCCCCGAAAAATGCATCTGGACAAGCATGGGATTTTCAAGGCAGCTCCTAGAAGGAGCACGCTCCCAGATGCGTTTTCCCGGCCCCGAAAAATGCATCTACACGTCATGCTCCTTCCGTTCCTATGCTCGTTTCCGGAGTTGGCCCCGGACCATGGTTTTCAAGAAAGAAAGCTAGATGCTTTTTCGGCCCGGCAAAACGCATTTAGACCTCGTGCTGTTTTCGTGCTGGCAGTCGTGTAGTAGTAGTAATAGTAGTAGTAGTAGTAGTAGTAGTAGTAGTAGTAGTAGTAGTAGTAGTAGTAGTAGTAGTAGTAGTGGTAGTGGTAACACGCCCGGAAACACGACAGATGCATTTTTTTG